AACTTCCAAGAGCCTTCAGCCATAATTAAAGAAGAAAAAGTCATAGGGACTAAGTATGTCTTTGCTGAATGATAGGAAATATCTCACAACTAAAGAGAAGCTTCCTGATCAAAAGACAGCTCCCCAACCTGTCTCCACTGCCTTTGCTTCTTAAAACTGCATCTCACAAGAGAATACAGCCACACCTTCAAACCACAGAAGAGATTAATCTGATTACATGAGAGAATTCTGACGAGATTGAGCTAGATTTATTTTTTCAATGAGGCAGGAGTTAATGACAACCGTATATGGAACTAAAGATATAAGTTGATTGGCTATCAGTCTAAGTTAGGGAATGTCAGGGCCAAAACCAATTATAAATGTGAAAGATAAACAATTTCATAAAGCCTAAGGAATGCCAGAAGTTACTAACAAATTGAAACAAAAAGGCTTCTTTTCAAACCACTAAGAGGAAAATTAATTTAGGGGGAGATATAATGACCTTCAGAGAAACAAAGAGTAAAACAAATAACAACAACAAAAAAAACAATTCTTCCAAGATCAAAAGGTACTCAGCACCTGTAGTCAACACAGAACCCTTCTATGGTCTAGTCTCTTATGATCAGATATTATGAGAGTATCAAATCTCCCTTTGAAGCATCTGGCACTGGCCACTGTCTCATACAATTTACTGGTAGACAGTCTACCAGTAAATACCATTGCCAGAGGGGGAAAAAGGGTGGGAAGTCTCTCCTCATGTTTGCTTTTACCTTTATTTAATATCATGCTTAGAAACCATGTCAATATGCACCAATGTATTTAGCTTATTAAACAGATCTTGATGAAGAACACAAGCAATTTAAGATTAAAAAGTACAGTCCCTAAATTGCAGGCATACTGTGTTCCAAATGTGCAAATGTTATCTGGAACTTGTAATGAATTTTTCCATAGAAATAATGCAGTAAGTGGTACTTAAGTTCCAAGTTAGCCCACTAAAGCCTATGTATCGCATAAGGTACACGAATGAATGTAAGAATAATAGTACTAGCTTGAGTTGTGGGTCTAAAGAATGGCAGAAGAGGGTAAAGATGTTCACGTTCCCCCTTCTGTAAGTCCACAACTAATCCTAGGCAAAAATTTTGACATAGATAAAAGTTTGTATTAGTACTCTCTCCCTTGTCATTTTGCACCTGTCTCCAGCTTCTTTGTATACAACTCTCTAGTTTTACAATTCTCGCACAAAGTTCTAAGAGGCTCACTTTAGTCAACCCTAATTCCTGCTTGGCCTACCATCACAAAGGTGAGAATGGATCTTAAAACACATATATTCCAACCACCTACCCGATGAAAGAATCAGAAATTCTTCCACTGTATCCTCAATGGTCATCCAATCTCTGTCTGAAAACTTCAAATAACAGGGAAGTCACTACTTCAAGCTATTCTATTTTCAGAAAGGGCTAACTGTGAAGTACTTTTATTGAGCTTAAATCTGCCTCCCTAAAGTTTCTTCTTACATCCTTGTTTTTCCTTCTGAAACTATGAATAAACCTAATCCCTCTACCCCTTGACAACCCTTTAGATATTATTGAGAGACAGTTTTCATTTCCCCCCAAAATAACTAATCACAAACCTTGTCTTGCCCTCATAAAGTTCTCCATGCTATTTAGTTCGATTCTTGAAAATTTTTAAGTGATTCAACTGTTTATTCATAATTTATAAATTGATAAGTGATATCAACTAATATTGATTTGACTAAGTTACATTAATAGGTGATATGTGGATGACTGAAAGTCCCTTAACCCTTTGAGGGGAAAGTAGGGGAAGCAGGGGAGAGGTAAAAAGCTTTCCATTTTAAAAAGGTTTATAAACCCAAATTAATTTCCAGAAGTATAAAAAAGACATCACCAAAAAAAAAAATTAAATTTGTAGGAAAATATTTCTGAGGTATTACCATGATATTGTCAAGAAAAGAGCACTGGACCTGAAGTCAGAAGAACTGGGCTTAAGTCCCAGCTCTGCTGATTAATAGGCATTTATTTAACCCTGGGCAAGTCACTCCAAATTACTGAACCTCAGCTCATCCATCTGTAAAATGAGTTAATAACATGTGTATTAACTGACTCACAAATCTGTAAAGAAGACACTTTGACTCTTACTTTACTAAGAAAATGGAAGCTCTCCATCTTGAATCTTATCTTTTCCCCCGTTCTATACTTCAAAATCTCTCTACAACATCCTATGATCTCTTCTGCTCTAGGCTCTAAGGAAGAGGCCCCATCTATGTACAAATGCCAATCCCACTCTGCCACTTTTATCCTTAATCATATGCCTGTCTCCTATGGGAAACTGTCCCTTTGATAATCTATTCAACCTCCCAAATTTTCAGTCTCTCCTTACACACTTTCAATCACTCCTCTCTTGCTGTCCACGAATGTGACTAGGTTTTGGTCATCTCTGGCTTGCCCTCTTATCATCTCTAACAACTGCCCTCTCTCTCCTCTCTTTCATCACCAACTTCTAGAAAAAGTAATTTGTATTCCAATCTATTTCTGTTCTCATTCACTTGTTAACAGCATAAAATCTGGTTTCCATTAAGCACACCTCTTGACCAAAGCTTGCTCTCTCCAAAATTACCATTTCCTAATTGCTAAGTTTAATGGCATCTTCTCAGTCCATAACCTTCTCTACCTCTTTGCTAATTTTGGCACAGTTGTCCACCTCCTCTCTTGGCTTTCATGACAATGTGCTTTCCTGACTCTCCTCTTGCACCTCTAACTATATCCTAAGCTGGAGTGTTATCTAAAGCCCATCTTCCAATGTGAGCGTCTACTAAGGCTCTATTCTAAGACCTCACCACACTCTAACAAAATTCCTTGGTGATCCCCTCAGCTCTCAAGGTTTTCAATTATCTCTATGTAGACTGACTCTCAAATATGTATATCCAGGACTTATATCTCTCCAGAGCTAGACATCTCCATCTGAATGTTCCCAAAAGAAAGTTTATTTTCTTCCCTCAAAACTGACATCTCTCCAAACTTTCCTATTTCTACTGAAGGTACTAATAGCTTTCTACTCACCAAGCATCTCATCCTCAGAGTCCAGCTATTCACTCTTACTCTGCCAACCTCAGATCCAATTAGTTGGTAAATCTTGTCACTTCTACTTCCTTAATACCTCCCATTCATCCTAGTCTTTTCTTTGATATGAACATTACCCTAGCTCAAAACCTCATCTTGTCTCACTTATGACTATTGTAACTAGACTCAGCCTCTGGTTTCTACTTTCTCCAATTCATCCTCCACACTTAGGTGCCAAAATAATCTTCCTACCACAGAAGCCTAACCATATCATTTGCTCAAAAATTATCAATGGCTTCCTATAGCCTCTAGGACAAAATTCTAAAGCCTCAGCTTGGCATGTGCCTACTTCTCCAAATCTACCTATATTACTTACTCCTTTCTATGTGCTAAGCATACCAGTTAAATAGGTCTACTTTCACCTTGATTCCACTTTGCATGTCAAATCCCAGCTCTGTGCCTTTCATGGACTGTCCTCCATGCCTATGATGGACTCCCTTCTAATCTCAGTCCTCAGAATCTCTAAATTCCTTCAAGGCTGAGCTTATGTACAATCTTATGTATAATCTTCCTAGTTGTAAGTGCTCTCTTTCTCCTAAAATTATCATAAATTTACTTATTCATTTATTTGTCTGTAACTTCAGTAGAATATAAGCTTCTTGAAGGCAGGGACTGTTTCATTTTGGCTTTGTAGCCTCATTGTCTAGTACCCTTAATGGTCACTAAAAATTGAATTATAAGCTTCAGGAGGTCAACGACTGTTTCATCTAAACTTTATATTTCCTGTAATGCCTAAGACAGTTCTCTCCATCTTGTAGGCACTTAAATGCTTGAGGAATGAATCCATGAACTGTGCAAGACTCCGGGGCAGAGAAAAATGGTGAAGGAGGAAAGAAGAATATATTTGCTTCACAAAAAAATTGAACACATAATCATTAAGAATTGTAAAAGAAGAAGTGAGTGGGGAATGTGATTTTACTGAAGTAAAAAAAACAAAATATAAATAAGTGAAGCTCAAAGCAGCCATTAAAAGGCCTTTCCTAGTATATTTATAGATCTTACCAAATAAGTTCTTTGGCCGTTATTAGCCTTTTTCTTTTTTTTGTAATCAACTTCTGAAAACTTATGTAAAAACCATACTATATTCATATCATCAAGCAAACAATGTGTTTTGCAAAGGAGAAATGTCTTTTTAAAAATACTCATTTCCATCAAGTTAACTTAGAAAAATTAAAATCAACAGATATGCTGCACTTATTGCAAAGTTTTGATATACTTAAAGAATGCTTTTCATTAAAATCAAAAGGTCTTAAAGAGATACCTGGGTTGAAATGTCAATACTTAGAACACTCTCCTTGCCTATGAGCATATCATAAAGGTGATGTTCTTCTTTATGTCTACTGAACTGATACAGACACTTCACAAAAAGAGTCAGGGGCTGGTAGAACTATGACCCATTGGGTCCTTCCCAAATTCTTAAACCTCAAAGGCTAATCCATGAGAAAGTTTATGGGAAAGTAAGACTTCCTGGTTGGGTACTTCTGGATATTAGGAGGCCCCAACTGTATAGAATGAATAGTTTATCCCTCACTATTAGCAAGGAGTTCCTCAATGAATACAAATAGCTTTAAAATCCAGTGTTCTTACATATTTAGTGTCATTCTATAATCACATAAAATCACCCTTGGTAACTTAAAAATCCCGCTTCACCATAACACAGATATCTACCAACATCCTATAATAACTTACTACTAACAGCCACATTAAGTGAGTCAGAGGTAAGAATGCTCTTTTCTGAATCATCTATACCACTTCCTGCTCTTGGTTTTTTCCCACAATATATCACACAAGTATTAGTCTGACCCAGAAAAATCTGTCTACTCAATGAAACTAGATAAACTTGAAGGCCAACATATATAATGGAACAAACATTTGATATATCACCTGAATCTGGATAAAGGCAGACATCATTAATATCATGTTCAGGTTCCAAGGAAGTAAATATTTTCCCCTGTAAAAGAAACAGAAAAATGAACTACTGAAATAAATTAAAATTTATTTTAACAAACAACAGAACCTAGGTAAATGAATTCAAAGTGACACTATGTACCAACCTTTTTTAAAAGCAGAAAATATGTATTATTTACAAAACCTAAATTAACTGGTACTTAATAAATGTCTGATAATTAAATGTGTTCCTTAACCAGTTCAAAAAGGAAGAAGATCAAATTATTGAAAAAAAATGAACAAGGCAAAAATCACGAGATCGGTTTTTAAAATTATCTGAACCTACTATACACAATTATATGCTAGCAAAAGAAAGAATTTTTTAAAAATTACCTACAAAAATACAAAATAACAGGCAAATTAACAAAATGTGAGCTTGAGATCTTAAATGATCCAATCTCAGAAAATGAAATCAAACAAGTCATAAAGGAACTACTAAAGAAAGAGTCATGGGAAAAGGTGAAGAGAGGGATCAACAAAGGAAGACAGAAAAGTAAAAAGCTCATATACAGTTTATGTGTTGGTCCAGAAGGAATATTTATTTATAAATACCCCCCAAAAGCCAAATAAAACTTACTTCAACAATTTAAAACAAGGGCTATCATGGAGTGAATTTTGAAGCCCCTTCCAGCTTTTACATTTGTCATTTAAAATTAAAAGAGGACTTTGGGATGTAGCCATTTTCTACAGTAAGAGAGGAAGCAAGGTGGGGCAAGGAAGAAGAGTTGTTTTATGGCTTTTTAAAAGCTGTAGAACTAGAAGCCAAGTGCTTTCAAAAGTAGAAATTCAATAAAATATAAATTAAGACCTACTATGTGCAAGAAACTGTGAGAATGCAAAGTGAAGGACAGTCTTTGCTATCAAGAAGTTTACAACTTGGTAAGGGAAGTAAGACATGAACAAACAATTCATAATAAAGTAAAACACAAAAAATAACAGGGAAGAGACACAAATTGCTATATAAGACTGATTGCATTATGGAGAACAGAAGAATTCAGGACCAAACAGGAGATAGAGAACATTACAAAAAGCAAAATGGATAACTTTGATTACATTACATTGAAAAGTTTTGCACAAACAAAGCCAATGCAGCTAAGATTAGAAGGAAGGTAGAAAACTGGGAAAGAATTTTTACAACCAGTCTCTCTGACAAGGGCCTCATTTCTAAAATATATAGAGCATTAAGTCAAATTTATAAGAATACAAGTCATTCCCCAATTGATAAATGGTCAAAGGATATGAACATGCAGTTCTCAGCTGTGAAATGATCCAACCATTTTGGAGAGCAATTTGGAACTATGCCCAAAGAGCTATAAAAATGTGCATACCCTTTGACCCAGCAATAGCACTTCCAGGGCTATATCCCAAAGAGATCATACAAATGGGAAAAGGACACACACGTACAAAAATATTTATAGCAGCTCTTTTTGTGGTGGCAAAGAATTGAAATTGAGAGGATGCCCATCAACTGGGGAATGGCTGAACAAGTTGTGGTATATGAATGTAATGGAAAACTATTGTGCTATAAAGAAATGATGAACAGGCTGACTTCAGAAAAACCTGGAAAGACTTGCCTGATCTGATGCTGAGTGAAGTGAGCAGAACCAAGAGAACATTGTACACAATAACAGCCACATTGTGCAACGACTAATATTGATAAACTTAACCCTTCCTAGCAATACAAGGATCTAAGGCATCTCCAAAGGCCTCCTAATGGAAAATGCTATCCACATCCAAAGAAAGAACTATGGAGTTTGAACATAGATCGAAGCATACTATGTGCTATTTTTTTTTCTTCTGTTGAGTTCTGTTTCCTCTTCCTGGTGGTTCCTCCTATTGGTTCTAAATCTTACTTACAACATCACTAATGTGAAAATATGTTTAACAGGAATGTATATGTATAGCCTATATCAGATTGTGTACCGTCTTGGGGAGGGTGGTGGGGAGGAAGAGGGAGAAAAATTTTAAACTCAAAAGCACATGGAAGTGATTGCTGATAAATCAAAATAAATTAATTTTAAAAAAAAAGACTGATTGCAAAAAAAAGATTTACTTCTCAGCACTATTTGAGGGGGCAGGGGAGAAATCAGAGAAAGCTTCCCAAAGGACATTATACTTGGACGAAACCTTAGAAGATGAGAAATATCTTAAGCCCGGGTAAATGGGAGAATGATGACAATATCACCAGGCACACAAAATCCATTAGAAGTAGGTTCTAAAGGAAAAATAATGAGATGATAAAGGAAAAATAAATTGAATGATGTGTCTTTTTCCTCATCATAAAGCCCTGCCATGAAAATGGAGAAGAGGAACTAAGCTAGCCCACAGAGCAAAAGCAGTATTTTCTTAACCCCAAGAAAGAGGACAGAAATAAGAAACAATTCCCAAGGTTCTTTTGAATAATAGCTTCTGAATTTAGAACTAATTCAATTCAGACAAGTCTCCTAAGCAGCTTCCACTGTACATATTTTTCAATCCCATTTAAAAGACCAAGATACTTATTCTGTCCTCCCACAAAGCACCTCTTCCTAGAAAAAAAAAATGAAAATAGGAATTGGAGAAAAAGAAAAAAAAAACTTAGTTTGTGTGCACTTACTTGATTTTTCCCAAGTTTATGATAGAAAAGAAGAATATAAATTAAAAAGGATGATCATGGAAAGATATTCTGAACACATAGTTAGCTTTCATAAAGATGAGACAGAACTTCAGGGTCTAAAAGCTACTTTATGGGATTCAAGAAATAGTTTCTTTAATGGCTATCCCTCGGGCTCTTCACTGACCTAAATACTGTTAAACTTTATGTTCACTTTTCAAAATGAAAAACGACATAGCAAGTAAAAAGCAAAGAGTAATGACTCTACTATCTAAACAGACCTTATCTATAGTATAGTAGTTGACTTCCTACTAGAGCTTTCTAAACTGTCTCTTAACAATTTCTAAGAATCAATACCTTCTCAAAATGGTATCAAAAGAGGCAAATGAAGGAATGAAAATTCAACACTGTAACACTTACTGTGTCTTTGTTCCACATTTTGATGATTCGAGAGTCTGCAGATAAAATTAAATCTAACGAATTCTGGAACTGGATTGATTTAATAGCTAGACCATACTGGTGATCCTTAACCAGTAATGGGTTACTGGAGCGAAGATCATACAACAAAACCTTTGAGAAAAAAGAAAAAAAAGTTAAAGTTATCTGTGCTATGAAAAACTAGAATAACCAAAACAAGAAAAAAGGAAACTAAAAGAAAATATTTTAGATTTTGAACAGTTTGGTACTTGCCTAATTATTTTATTATTAATATTCTATTCAGCAAAACGTTCAACAAATAAATTAAGCCAAAAAGAGAATCTTTCCAGAGTGATTAAGAATAGGTCTTTTGTGCTTTGTCCACCAATGACTGGTATTCCCTAATAAATGCTGGACTTGACCTTACCATTAAAAAGTTTCTTATATTTGGGAAGTACCTGAATGTTGAAAGGAAAACCCTGGCATAAGGAAGGAACTAATTTGCTTCAACCAAATAAGCATATGTGCTAAGAAAAAAAAAAATCAATAAACTATATGACATCTGTGTCTTAAATGAATGAAAAGATTCCTACAAAATTAAACAACCTAAAATAGAAAAATGAAAAACATAAGAAAAAGGAGTAAAGAGTCAAGTAATTATTAGCCAGGCCCTAGAATAAGTCAAGCTACTTCAGTTGAGCCCTGAATTTAGTTTCCCGGCTGCAAAGGTACAAAGGAAAATATACTGTGTTTTACAGATTTCACAATATTCATTGCATAATTTTTTTCAAAATCCAAATTTACCAGTACAAACTTTTTCCTAATACTGAGATGGAGGAGGAATTTATCATAACAGTAAATGGACCTTAAGTAGAATCATTAAGATTATCTTTAAAGTGATTTTGTAAACACAAATAACGAATGGATGTTTCTTATATTGACTCCCCTATGAAAGCAGCTTTGGAGAAGTGGACAGACATTAGATTTACAGTCTGAGGACCTTGGTTCAAATTCTGCTCTTCTATTTACAACTTATGTGACCAAATACAAATCGCTAAACTTCTCTCTGCATCTTCATCTATAAAATTGAAGAAGGTAGATAAGATAATTTGAAGGATCCTATCATTGCTAAATATGTAAGCCTATGGAAAACTGAAACTATAGCATCAAATATTAACTCAGTGGAGTAATTCCTATAAAGCTGAGATAATGACTATAGTTTTTTAATGACTAAGTTAATACAGAAAAGGTTTTGAAAGAATAGTGAATATATCCATTAAGTTGGATCTCTCAACTACGAGATCTCAAGTAATTTTTAGCAATACTACTCATGAACCCTGAAACCTAAATCATCATATTTGTGAGCAACCTAACAGATGGCATCCTCCACATCACGTGCACAAAGACTGGATAAACTGCAGTTTCAATTCACGACATATTTACCTGCCCTGTAGATGTTCCAACTGCCATGTTTAAGGCACCATTAAATTTTAGGGCTGAGATTGTAGGCAAACTGTCTATCCTGAAAGACATAATGTATGTTCCATTTACACAATGGCCAAGAATCCTTCAAAATAACTGGTATATTCAGACATGCACTTTAGCAAAATCAGTTCAACATTTTAATATTTTACCACCAACTCCAGCCAAATCCAGCTTCTCTTTATGGTTGTTTAATTCAAAGGCTACAAAAGAAATTGCCCAAATTATTAAGAAGAAATATTTTTAGGCTCCAACACGTAAAACAATAAATAAGTAAGTTCTCTCTCTGTAAAAGGAGGATATTATAGGATCTAGAGCTGGAAAGGACCTCAGACATCATCTAGTGTAACCACATCATTTTGCTGATGAAACTAAGACCTAGAGAGGAAAAGTGATTTGACTCAACGTTACACACAGGCATGACAGAGCACAGTAAAGATCTCAATCCAGGTCCTATTACCTCAACTTGGGTGCTTTTTCCCTATACCTCACAAATTGAACCAGATAATCTCTCAAATCTCTTCTAGCATCATAATTCTAAGATTCAAAGTGAGAAAGAAATAACTTGTAATTTTTTTAAAACAATAACAAAAAAGGAAATCAAAATTAAATTAATTGAGCTTTATTAAGATATAAGTCCAAAGGTAATTGGCAAAAAAAACTAAGAGCTACAGTATCATAGCATGAATGAAAAAAATCTTAAACTATACAATATATTATATATATTGTATATATGTGTGTGTGTATAAAAACTATACAATATTTATAAGTTAACTAAATATGCAATCATCCATGTAGGCATGCACATACTTTTTATAAACATGAACTACTGAAAACTGATTTTTAAAAAATTCTCAGTAGTGGCATAAATGGCATACTAGGAGAAAGTAATTTAGTTAATTTAAATTTTTTTTCTTTCTGGACCTCTCAAAATTACCTTGTAAATGAGGTTGTCCTGAATTCAATCAATAAACATTTATTAAGTACCGACTATATACCAGGCACTGTGCTAAGCACTTGGGATACCAAAAGAGGGAAAAGACAGTTCCTGCCCTCAAAGAGTTTCCAATCTATTGGAGAAGACAACATGCAAATATATAAAAATATGCTATATCATATATGCATAAGCTATTTATCCTATATAGCTTATGTAAACAAGCTATTTATCCTACGTATTACAGGGTAAATAGGAAATAAATTAATAGAGGGAAGGCACTAGAATTAAAAGGAGTTGGGAATGGCTTTTAGTAGAAGATGGTATTTTAGTTGGGACTTATAGGAAGCCAGGGAATCAGTAGACAAAAGTGAACAGGGAGAGTGCTCCAGGCATGGAGGACAGCTACAGAAAATCAAAAGATGGAGGGTTCTTGTGCATCAAATAGCCAGAATGCCAGCATCACTGGATCAAATAGTTATGTGGCAGGGAGTAAGGTGTGAGAAGACTGGAGAGACAGGAGGAGGCTAAGGTTATGATGTGTTTTGAATGCCAAACATAGTATTTTGTATTTGATACTGATAGCAACAGGAAGCCACTGGAGTTTATTGAGTAGGAGGGTGACATGATTGGACCTGGCCTTTAAGAAAATCACTTGGTGAAGGAAGAACTATGGAGTTTGAAAGCCGATCGAAGCATACCATGTGCTATTTTTTTTTCTTCTGCTTTGTTTTGTTTCCTCTTTCTGGTTGTTCCTCCTATTGGTTCTGATTCTTCCTTATAATATCACTAATGTGAAAATATGTTTAATAGGAATGTATATATATATATATATATATATGTAGCCTATATCAAATTGTGAACTGTCTTGGGGAGGAAGGGGGGAGGGAGGGAGAGAAAAATTTTAAACTCAAAAGCTTATGGAAGTGTTTGTTGATAAATCAAAATAAATTTTTAAAAAAATCATTTTGGTGGCTGAACAGATGATGGAATGAGTGTGGAGAGACTTGAGGTAAGTAGGCCCACCAGCAGGCTATTGCAATAGCCCAGGCATGAGGTAATGGAGGTCTGAATCAGAGTGGTGGCAGTATCAGAGGAAAGAAGGGAAAGTATTAGGGCGATATCGCAAAGGTGAAAAATTGACAAGCCTTGAAAACAGCTTGGATATGGGGGATGAGAGTAAAGAGTTCATGATGACTCCTAGGTTGGGAGCCTGAGGGCCCGGGAGGACGGTGTTGCCCTCGACAGTAATAGAGAAGGGGGAAGCCCGGGGCGGGGGAGGGGGGCCGCAGGAGGTGAGGGTGTTAGGGGAAAAGATGATGAGTTCTGTTTCTGGCATATTGACGTTAAGCTGTTCGCTGGACATCTAGTTCAAAATGTCTGAAAGGCAGTTTGAGATGCAAGATTAGAAGTCAGCAGAGAGTTTGGAGTAGAATAAATAGATCTGAAAATCATTAGCATAGAGCTGGTAATTAAGTGCATGGGAGCTGACGAAATCACCAAGTGACGTTATATAGAGAGAGACGGTAGGAGGGTCCAGGACAGAACCCTGAGGGACATCTATGGTTATGAGACATGCTCTAGATGAGGATCCAGCAAAGGAAAATGAGCAGTGGTCAGCCAGGTAGGAGGAAAAAAAGGAGAGTGTTTTATCTCAGAAGCCTGGAGGGAAGATATTATAAAGGAGAGGATGATAGCAGTGTCAAAGGCTGCAGAAAGGTCAAGGAGAATGAGGATTGAGAAAAGGGCATTGAATTTCCTAACTGAGAGATTACTAGTAACTTTGGAGAGAGAAGTTATAGGGGAATGACAAGGTTGGATGCTAGTTTATAAGGGGTTAAGAAGAGAGTGAGAGGAAAGAAAGTGGTGGCATCTATTATAAACAGTCTTTGATTTAAGATGATAGTTAGTGGGGATAGAAGGATCAAGTAAGGATTTTTTCAGGATGGTAGAGACATGGGCAAATTTGTAGGCAGTTGGGAACAAGCTAGTAGAGATGGAGAGACTGAAAAAAACTAGGGATGACAGAGGACAATCTGTTAGAGGAGATAGGATGGAATAAGACTGCTTGAACAGGTAAAGCGGTTAGTTTTGCCAAGGAGTAAGGCCACTTCATCATGTGAGATGGGTGACAGACGAGGTAACAGCAGAAGGCTCCTGAATGACAGGAGATAAAAAAGAGGAGAACAGGGACTCAATTTCTTCTTTAAAATGTGAGGTAAGGTTCTAAGCTGAGAAGGTAGGGGAAAGAGGAGCCATGGGAGGTTTGAGGGATGAAAAGGTCTGGAAGAGCCCAACTGGAAAATGGGATAGTGAGTTGATAAGGGAGATACAGCAGGAATGTCTACCAGAAGTAAGGGCTCCCTTGAGATTATGTAACATAAATGTGTACTGAACCTAGTGAGAACAGTTGCATGATTTTCTTTTACCTTCCTTCACAACACATGTGTAGGACAGAAGGTGACAAATGGCAGGAGTGATCCAAGGCTGAGGCTTGCCAGGGTATAATCAGTAATTAGGGTCTGGCATGGATCTGCTAACTGCTAATCAACTGCTGCTAGTAAAGGAAGAAGAAAAAATTTTTTTCTAGATTATAAAATCTGGGGGCTCCTGAGTGCTAAAGATTACTGCTAAATGCAGTTAGGATTAAAGGTAGCTTAAACAAATGTTTATAGAAATACAGACCTAAATAACTGCAAATATATTAATTGCTCCTGGGTAGCATGAACCAAAATAATAAAAAAGGCAATAAATATTAAAAAATTTACTTATTCAATGCTAAACTAAATAAACTATCAAAGGATTACTTTATAGAACTAGAAAAAAAAATGAAATTCACAGAAAAGAAAAAGAAAGTCAAAAATCTCAAAAGAAATGATGAAAAGAAATGAGAATGAAGGGGATCTAACAGTATCAGATCTCAAAATATACTAAAAAGTATTTAGAAATTTCCAGTGCTATGATGGCAGAGTGAGGAAGAAACTTCCTAGGGCCCTCTCAAATTCCCCTCCTAACAACCTTGAAAAATATCTCAGAACCAATTTAGGAGTGGGGAAGCAGAACAATGGGAAAGGTCTGTCTCTCTGGAGTGGAAAGCGGTAAACAAACAGCAGCAGGTCACACCCCAGGCAACTGATGCAAGAGAATCATAAAAAAAAAGAGTCAACAGCTTTGTAAAAAAATACAAAAAAATGGAAAAAGATACAAAAATTCACTGAAGAAAATAACTCCTTAAAAAACAGAACTGGCAAAATGGAAAAGGAGGTACAAAAGCTCACTGAAGAAAATTCCTTAAAAATTAGAGTTGGACAAATGGAAGCTAATGATTCCATGAAACAACAAGAAACAATAAAACAAAATCAAAAGAAGAAAAAAAATGTGAAATTTCTCATTGGAAAAAAACTTACCTGGAAAATAAATCTAGGAGAGATAATTTAAGAATTATTGGACTACCTGAAAGCCATGATCTTTAAAAAAAAAAAAAAAAAGGAGCTTGGACATCACAGTTCAAGAAATTATTAAGGAAAACTGCCCTGATATCTTAGAACCAGAGGACAAAACAGAAATTGAAAGAAGCCACCAATCACCACCTGAAAGATCCCAAAATAAAAACTCACAGCAATATCATGGCCAAATTCCAGAACTCCCAGGTCAAGAACATAATGCAGGAAGCCAGAAAGAAACAATTCAAATATTGTGGAGCCACATTCAGGATTACATATGATTTAGCAGTTTCTACATTAAAGAACCAGAGGGCTTGGATTTGATATTCCAGAAAGCAAAGAAGTTAGGATTACAACCAAGAATCACCTATCCAGCAAATACAGCATAGTCCTTCAGAGGAAAAAGAAAATGGATATTTAATGAAACAGAGGACTTTCAAGTGTTCTTAATTAAAAGACCAGAGCTGAATAAAAAATCTGATATTCAAATACAAGATTCAAGAGAAACATAAAAGGTAAAAAAAGAAACAAAAAAGAGAAAACATAAGAGATTCAATAAGGTTAACCTGTTTATATTTCTACATGGTAAGATGATTTTTCTAATTCTTAAGAACTTTATCATCATAAGGGCAATCAGAGTATACATGGACAGAGGGTGTGGGTATGAGATGACTATGATGGGATGATATTCAAAAATACAAAACTAAGGATGGAGAAAGAAGACTGCACTGGGAGTAAAGGGAAAAGGGAGATAGAATGGGGCAAATTATCTCACATTAAGAGGTATAAAAGAGCTATTACAATGAAAGGCAGACTATAGGGGTGGGGTGGCGGGTAACATTTGAACCTTACTCTCTGAACTGGCTCAGAGGGAATAACATACATACACAGTTGGATAAAGAAACCTATCTTATCCTATACAGAAATAAAAATGGATAGTGATAAGAGAAGGGGTAGAGGGGGGACTGATAGAAGGCAGGGCACATTGTGGAAGTATGTGATCAAAAGTAAAATACTTGTGAGGAGAGACTGGCTAAAAGGTAAGACAGAGAAAAGGATAAACAAGGGAAAAATAGGAAGGAGGTAAATATACAGCTAGTTATCATAACTGTAAAAGTGAAAGGGATGAACTCATCTATAAAATGAAAATGGATAGCAGAATAGATTAAAAACCAGAATCTTACAATGTGGTGTTTACAAGAAACACATCTGAAGCACAGAGATACACACAGAATAAAGGTTAAGGGGATGGGATAGAATCTATTACACTTCAGCCGAAGTTAAAAAAAAAAAAAGCAGGGTTGGAAATTACGATCTCGGACCAAAAGCAAAAATGGATCTAATTAAGAAAGATAAAGAAACTATACCTCACTAAAAGGTACCACAGACAATGATTCTGTTTGTTTCATTCTTTACCAGTTTATAAAAGGTTTCAAAATTGTTAATCTTTGTAATACTGATGTTATGGTATACATTATTCTGGTTCTGCTCACTTCACTCCACATCAGTTCATACAAGGATTTCTCTATTTCTTCACAGCTTCAGCACAATAATATTACATCACATTTATATACTACAGCTTATTCTACCATTCCTCAATTGTTGGAAATCCTCTTAGTTTCCAGTTTTTTGCTACCACAAAAAGAAATGGCTACAAATATTTTTGTACATATAGGACCTTTTTCTTTTATCCCTTTTGAGTATGGTCATAGCTTTAATATAGCTAAAATCAAAGGGAATTCATGGTTTATCAACAGAAATATATTTAGAAACATATATTTTTGGGTATAATTCCAAATAGTTTTCCAGAATGGTTATACCTATTGACAGATACACAAATGTTGAAGGGGCAGCGGGAAAACAAGCACAATGATGTGAACTGGTCTGAAAACCTAGATAACAATTTGGAATTATGCAAGAAAAGTTACTAAATTGTCCACAGCCATTGACACAGAAATTCATCCACTGGGCATATACCAAAAGAAGCAAAAGTCAGAGACAGAGTGAAAGAGAGAAAGAGAAAAAGAGAGAGAGAGTTTATGTATATGTGTACATATATTCATATGACTAATATATATCATATATGATATACACACACATACAGTAAAGGTAAAGACTAATAAAGAGAGAAATTTAAACTTGCACAGTAAATCATATAAGGGAACAAGGAAAACTTCTCATCCTAGAAGCAGTGATAACAATTCACATTTCTATAACATTTTCAAGTTTTTAAAGTGCTTTTTCTCACAACCCTGGGGAATAGGTATGTGAATATTTCTACACCCATTTTGAAAAAGGGGAAACTGAGATTCAGAAAGATTAAATCACTTGCCCATGGTTACATAGCGAATAATTGAATTAGATCCTTTGACCATAAGAAAAATATATTCAAAATTATGAAAAATGTGTGTGTAAGGGGGAGGGAAGTTGAGAGGGTGTGTGTGTGTGCGCACGCACGTGTGTGCAGAATGTGACCAGACAAAAGTTTCCAAAAAATAGGAGAAAAAAGATTCAAAGTTTGTTAACAGTCTAAGGTAACTTATCGCAGTTATGTACTTTACAATTTGTTTTTTTAATGGCTGAAACTAAAAAGATAAGTCCTGCTTTCCAGCTTCCCCTAAACTAGCTTCAGCCTGACACCTCCCTGATAAAGGACTACCCTTAAAGAAAATGACCTTAATGAATAGCCTACAAAACTTCTGGAGACAAAATTAATGATTTGGCCATGATTTAGACTAAATGATCAGGCAGGTCCCTTCTAACCTTGCAATTCTACGGTTCAAGTCACATGGGAAATTAAATATACACTAAACACCATTCATTCTGCCAAGTAATTTTAGTTCCAAAAGGAAACACCTTTATACAAACAAAATGTGATATGTAAATGAGCCTCCATCCTTGCCTCCTCATTACACCAAGTCTCCTAAAGTTTAATAAGAAAAGCTCTTAGACTAATTCCAAGTAGGAGATAGCATTTCTTTTTCTTTTTAGAGGCAACTGGGGTTAATTTACTTGCTCAGGGTCACACAGGTAGTACGTATCTGAGGCCAGATTTGAACCCAGGTACTCCTGACTCCAAGGCCAGTGCTCTATCCATTGTACCACCTAGCTGCCCAAGATGGCATTTCTTTAAAAAAAAAAAAAAAGCAATGCTTGCAGGTAAAATTCCATTATAATAAATGTTATTACAGAGGACATTCTATTCCAATTGATACCTTAACAGGAATCCCCATAACATTACTCATGACAAGTGGTCATCCAGATTCCACTGAAGACCCCCAGTAATAGGGAACCCACTAATTCCTGAAGCAAGACCATTCCACTGCAACTCAGTTTTAATTTCAGATGCTGCAAACTAGGAATGTTATTTCTTAAACTGTTAACAAATTCCTTTGCAACTAATTAGGATGGCCTGCAAAGTTCTTTATAAAGAGAGTTTCTACTTTAGACTTTTTGTTAACCTTTATTCAATTCAGCAGAATTCTATTATAGAAGTTCTTTTTAAAAAGAAAAAAATAAAAAAGATATGAAGCTATAACATTTGACATCTTTATACGTGGAAATCTTCTAAGGATTTCACTATGTACTATTTTGCTTTCTCTTGAAATATGCATAGGGGAAGCCATAGACTATACTTTGTCTCAAAAATTCAAGTCAATTTTTTTTTTACTTACTCCGTATCAGCTGTGACACTGCTTAAAGCACAGTCTAAGAGTCCAACCCGATTTCGGGTTCTAGGGTCCCAGCATTCAACTCTACCCTAAACAAAAGAAATAATCATCTATTAGAAAACGAGTCTTGCCTTAGAAGTTAAAGCAATATCAAATATACGTCAGAAACTGTCATTAACACCACACCTCCTAAACACAAAAATATCCTTATGATATATAGTAAGCAAGGTAAAGACTAATTAATAAGAAGAGAGAAGTTATAACTTACCCAGAAAGTCATATAAGGGAACAAGGAAAGAAGTTTCTCATTCCAGAAGTACTGACAACTAACATTTCTGTAACATTTTAAAGTTTTTTAAGTTTTGTTTTTTCCTCACAATCTTGTGAGGTAGGTAATAAAATTATTATACCTATCTTGCAGATAAGAAAACAGAGGTTCAGAAAGGTTAAATTGCTTGCTCATGATCACAAAAGATTCCATAATTATAAGGAAAAAAAGATTCAAAATTATATATATTTCTTTTTTTTTCTTTTTTGTTTTTTTTCCTGGGTTTTTTTTTGTTTGTTTTAGGCAAGGTCACACAGCTAATAAGTGTCAAGTGTTTGGTCTGAGGACGGATTTGAACTCAGGTCCTCCTGACTTCAGAGCCAAAGCTCTTTCCTTGCACCACCTAGCTGCCCCTAGATTCAAAATTCTGAAGAAAGCATACATATTGGTGAAAGTAAACTAAAAAACAGCTTTTCTTTTTACTGATTACTGATGATCTAAATTCAAGTATTTAACTAATAAAAGCTAGTCTTCTGAATATTTACAAAAATGAAAATTACATTATTTGGTGTACTATATTTGATAAAGCAGTATCATCTAGAAACAGTAAGGTGGACATAACAAGTTGCTATCTCCAGATCAAGAGACCTGGATTGGAGGCTCTGGTTTCAAATCTTTGCTCTTCTATTTACTACCTGTGAGACCCAGGGCAAGTCATGCATTCTTTCTGAGGATAAGTGATGAACTCCTCTAGCTTTAAAGCTACGATTCTAAGACACTTCACTTCTCTAAATACCAGTTTCCTCATCTGTAAAATGGGAATAATACAGCAGTTACCTCATGAGGTGATTGTGACAAGAGCATTTTTTTAAAAATCAAATAGTAAAATGCAGGCAGCAAATTTTTTTTACAATATATATTATTTTGGGAAAGGATTTTAAAAGCCCACTTTAATTTTGTCTGGAATAATATACTTGCTGTCACAGAATTAAAGAATCTCTACAATACCAAGTATCCAACATTATACTTTCCTATAACAAAAAAGCTTCCATGCTCTCAGTGCTGTTCTTAAAATTTCTAACGAAACAAAAACACATTACCAGCATGTAACTGATGTCTTCTCTAGCCTATTTCATTTACTTTTATATCTAAAACATATGTATGTATGCATGCATGTGTATACATACACACACACACATGAGCACACGCATATACGCATGCACGCACACTCTTACCCTCTAAGCAAATGTACGTGTGGGTATGTATATAATAAATATATCACTAAGAAAATTTTATTTATTCCTTGACACTGAACAAGGGTACGTATCAATAATACTAAGCAAACCTTCTGCAGAGGTTTCCTACAAAGTCATACTGTATATTACTTTTAAAACATAATACCGAAATGCTTACCTCTATTGTGCCTGTGGCAAACAAGCCATGCATGGAATTTATGTCACAAACATTGTTTTCTCTACAATAGTAAAGGGAAAAAAATGATTGTTAATACTCATTTTTTTTTTGGGCATACAAAGTCCTTAAAAGATCAAGCCTTTACAAAAATTCTATGGAATGAAGTCAGTTTGACGTACTATGCTTATCTACAAATGAGAACGTGGAGTCACAAGAAAGCTCATTGATGTGCTGGTGGTCCTTCTTTTTTGAACAAAAAAGGCTAAGAACCACAGTCTTCTCATTCCTAGAAAAGAATTTTGTCTTCTACTCGATATTATCTTTAAGTAAATGAAGACATAAAATATGAAGCTGTCAATGGCATGAATGCAGAGCTTCCAAAATGCTTGTCTCCTAATAAAGAATGCTGGATCTGGAATTTCAGGCTCTGTATTCAAATCCTGACTCTCTTATATTCTATCTGTGGGACCTTAATTAAATCACCACACATCTTTAAGTCTCAGTTTGCTCATGTATAATGTGAACAGGCTGAACTAGCTAACCTCTAAAGTTTCTTCTAGCTCTGTTATCTATGGGTGACTCTATTAACCAAATTTGGTTACAAAATCAACAAAATAATCAGGGCCATCCAAAGTACTGCGGATAATGCAAAAAGAAAAAAAATCTTTTCTGATTTTGACTACATTAAACTCCTTTTAAAATTAGATCTGCTCAGAAATAAAGTACTTTTAGAAAATATTAATGGATTTTTTTAAGTAGAAAGTCATTTTTTTAAACTTCCAATGATAATATATTCCTTTGAATAAGCATAGCACAGAGTCCATAAAACATGGGATAAAGTTCCACGTTTAACTCTTGTATCAGTAGAGACTCTTGCTTTATGAATATGTGCAAGTCATTTAACCTCTCTAAGCATCAAGTAATTCTCTAAGACTAAATTATAGATGGGTTGAAATCTGTACTGATATAAAAAGTTCCCACGATGGACACTAGTAACCTAAGAAGTTTAACTTTTGGCTCCCCCTATGGGTAGAAATCAAGTATTACTTAAACTGGAGAAATACTCACGCAGAACCTGTTTGGAGAGGATTTAGGTACCGTCCTTGTTCTAAATTTAACCTGTATACTTCAGAGCTAAGGAAGAAAAGCTACAGTTACTCATTTGATAAATTAAATCTACATAATTTTAAAGCTAATTGTAAAATGGTAGGCCCTTTAACCATCATAATGCCTTCATGACGTCCCTTTCATTAAAAAATAACCCTAAATTCTAAAGCGGTTAATTGCTACTTCCTGTGAATCTGCTTACACAAAAAGGATTTTCAAAAATACATGCAGTGCTTTAATATACTAAGTTCAAAATCAGTTAACAAAGAGATTTAAGAAGTGCTATTACCTTATCACACTGTGGATCTAACTGGTTCAAATGGTTAGAACATCATGCCAATTAAAGTCACAGGTTCAATCCCCACTAGGAACCAGTAATTTCATTCTGTATAGATCTATGACCACAGACTGAAATCCTAATTCCAATCAGTAATCCTGAAAATATATCACCTCAGTCACAAAGGAAACCAGCAAAAAGCACGAAGGCAGTGGGGGGTAGCAGGACAGCAAATATATAAGCACACTTGAAAGTAAGGTTCAAAGAACACAATTAAGTGTACACTGTTAGGTGCTTCTCAAAAGCAAAATAGCACCATCTCTGAAAACTGCTTCTACTGAGCTAAGTTTTTCTCCTAAAGACCCATTTCTCTACTTCTCAAGAACATAGCTTATCCTGCACAATACTCATCTTCAGTATGACTTGGTTTTACCATGATATATGTAATTAGTCTCCAGTTTTAACATTAAGAAAAATTACCAATTAACTAGTAGATATTTTAATAAATGCTAATTGGGGATGGAGTAGAGGAAGCCCATATAGCAGGTTCAATACCTTGCACCAACGAAGTACAAATCACAAGATGGATAGTGATAAGAAAAATCCCTGCCAAACTTGGGTATTCTGGTTTTGTAATAAAAACCTTGTTGTGAATGAAATTCAATATATCTGTCATTGTGTAGGAAGACAATCTGAAAAATACAACCAAAAAATTCATTTTGTTGGGCCTCTAGGCAAAATTTTAACCGTCAAGCACCTAGCATCATGCCTTGCACACAGTAATCACTTAGTAATACTAGTACTGAGTTAAATGTTATCACCAATGAGAACAGATTCTAGAATCGATATGTTATATACCAGAAGTTTCTATGCTCTTTCCATCAATAAATCAATAAGTATTTATTCAATGCCTACTCCATGCCTGGCAATGTGCTAGATGTGAATAAAAATATAAAAAATAAAATAATCTCTTTTCTCAAAGAGCTCACATTCTACCAGAAGAGAGATGTGTACATGTACACACACACACACACACACACACACACACACAATTCATTTATATATATCATATATATACATACATACACACATAGAATGAATACACATTATCATACAAAGCAATTAAAAAATGAGAGATAGCCAGGGAGAAATGGCCCTAGCCATTGAGGGTATCAGGAAAGGTTATCCTTGAGCTATATATTGAAGAAATCAGGGATTCTTTGAGGTGAAAGTGAGAGAGGAGGATGGACATTCTCAGCCTGTAGGGAAGCCAGCATTTGATGGTAAACCATGAGTGAAAAACAGAGAGAAGGCCAGTTTGACTGAAGCATGAAGTATGGAAAGGGAAGAAATATATATTGAGGCTAGAATCTTTGTTTGGGCCAGACTGTGAAAGGTTTTAAAAACAAGAAGCAGTTTTCTTATCCTAGAGGTAACAGGAGCCACTATACTTACAATGAGATGTTCAGATCTTTGCTTAAGAAAAACCACTCCATCATTGCATTTTTTTTGGATCAAAACTTCACAGTGGAAAAACATAACCAGAGTATCCTCAATTCAGATTACAAAGTCACTTCATAAAACAGAAAGCTAACTCTAATGAGCAATTTCCGAACTGATTTAGGGACATATTTTAGTAAGCCAGTGGCAATTAGATGACTACAAAGGAATAAATCAAAGTTAATATAACTGTGTAAACCAAGAAGGCAATAAAGATAAATACAAGGTCTTTATGAAGTCTTTACAAACTTTTAAACTCAGATTGTTAATATGATGCAATTATTCTGTAAATAACATTCAACAATGAAAAGAAAATTTAGGAGTTTGGTCAACACAGAGATATACACAATACATTCTTAGTTTACAACTTGTAACAAATTTAAAAAATAGCTCTCATGGAGCAAGATATTGATTTCTATCCTGTGACAGATAGAACTTAGTCCATGTAAGGAAAAATTAAACTTGTGCTACAATCATGCACAGATTATTTTCAGACTAATTAATAATCTATGTCACTAAAATATAAACTTTTCAAAATTACACAGTAACTTTAAGATTTTGCATATTATTCACATATGTTTCCCAAGTAAAGAAAGTCACTCAAAACTAGTGTACTTTTTTTTTTTTTTTTTGCAATAATCATCCAAACATCCTCACACAGCTGTGGGTTTATTTTTTAAACTTTTTTTATCCTTTGTTTCACAGTTGGCATGGAGGTAGAGAAGGGAAAATGAGGTAATGAAGGTAATATAACTGCTTTTGTAATTCAAACAGTACTATTCTCTGTGCTTAATACATCTGAATTTCTCAGGTCCTTTGACTTCAATGTAAGAAATGAGATGTTCTCCACAAGTGAGTAATTAAAGTTTACCCTTTTAATGCAATTATTTTTATTTTAGGCACTTAAGTTGGAAATCTTCTTTCAAATGTATTAAAATTTTCAAGATATTAACAAAAGTCTAAAAAAGTGAACTTTAAAATGTTTTGACAGAAACAAGGAAAAACTGAGTCTTCAGTTAAATAAATCCAATGGTAAAAAAATTGTAGAAAAAATCTCCTAGAGAAGTTTATAAGTTAATAAACTTAATACAATGTCCATTAAAATATAAATGGACTATTTTATAAAATTAAATAAAATTATAAAATTCATGTGAGGAAAACAAAGAGAATTATCAATAGGAAGGACAAAAATAAAAACTAATAATGGAAAGACTTACTCTGTCATATTTCAAAATATACTGGAGAGCAATAATTATCAAAATCATGTGGTACCAGGTGAAATTAAAAAGATAAAAGAAACAGAAGGCAGACATAGCACCAAGTGTATATCAGGGATAAGTGTTTAAAATTTAGGGTTGCCACAGGGAATTATTATGCAGTAAAAAAATTTTTAGGAAAACCAGATAATGAAATGACAAAATGAACTTCTATCCACAATATACTACAAAAAATTCCATTCGGGTTAAATGACCAATCATGGTCCCACAAATAGATAATGAAGTATACCTTTTTGGGTTCAGTACACAAGTGGAGGTCTATGAATGCAGTATATTGTATATAATCAGATAGAGTCTCAGTATCAGTCAGTTTTGCTTAACTGTTTTAAGTAGGAAATGATTACCATGTAAAAAACAAATGGCACCAATAAAATTATTTAGTTATTAAAATAATTTGAAAATTGAATTAAATAGGAACAACATATTTATTTCAATTACAGAGAAGAAAATGTGTGTCTGTCAAACAGGTGAACAAAATTACTAAAAACAAAATAGCTTTAAAATAAGTTTTTATAGCTTTAGTGCTATAAAAATCAAAAGATTTGCATAGCATAAAACAATATAACCATAAAGAAACAGAATGGGGAAAAGTCTTCAACTGATACATAATATATAACAAATATGGAATTTAAAGGTCAAATATGGTGGATATAAATAGGACATAAATAGCATATAACCAACAACCTGTGTGCCGGCAACATCACAAAAGATACCACCCAAGAGATACAGAAAGAGAATAAGAAATGTCAGTCATAGAGTGAAAGGGATGCGGGACAGATGGTCACATATAGTTGAAGAAGTCCCTTACAATGAGACTATAGATCTCAAGACGTACTGAAGAATATTTGGAATATATTTCCAAATACATTCCAATGACTTTACATTATCTGAAGCAATGGGAACACCCAAAGGTAAGGGACTCCTTTGTTCATAAGACACTACATTTAAAATTCTATACAATGCAGGAGCTAGAATATCGCAGAGATAACGTGGACTAACACCTTATTTTTACAGAAGAAACTGAGCTGAGAAAAGCTAAGTGACTTGCCTAAAATCACAGAAGTGGTAAGAGAAGTAGGGTATGCTTCCAGATCCTTTGACTCAAAACTAGTGTTCTTTCCTCTGTATCATACTACTCAAACATAGTCATTTAAAAGTTAATGTTGTTAAACATACCTTTGAATAATCATCAGATAATATGTCAAATGTCACAACTGAAAAACAAGAGGAAAAATATATAATCATAAAATGTTCATTTGTGAACCCAAAGGAAATAATATATATACATATGTTGCCATGTACGGTATCCTAGAAGACTTAGTGCAGTTTTAAGCTTTAATAATTTAAATAATAGCTTTAACAGATACATATATACATGCATTCACAATGTATATACATAATATTCCTAGCATTCATAATGTGATTATATGTAATATATAAAGTTGCATGTTGTACTGGTATATATAAATTTGCATTTAAACATTTGCATTTTATATCTAAATACATATATTTGCATTTATACACATATACACACTTGCATGTTAGGATTACCATATTTCACTGCATAATCACCACCACTGCATAATTGTCACACCCTGTTTTGTTTTGTATTGTTTTTTGTTAGTCCAAAAATTGGTTTATAACCTTTCACCACATAATTGTCACATGATACAATTATATTCCTCATGCCAGTTGAAAGGTAAACAGAGCAACAATGTATTTGCCAGTGGCATTGCAAGCCACAAGCCTAGAATTCTCAGAGCACGCGCACTGTCAGTATATTTCCAAAAGACTTGTATAGTTTGTTTAGAGTGCTGCAGTACTAACAGTATTGTTGTTGTTCAACCCAATGAAGAGTCGCAGGCACAAAGGGAGCAGGCAGGAAGGTGATGCTGCCATGAATAAGTCATAAGTGATATGGTAAGACCTGTATTTTCCCAATTTCAATGTATATTCATGAGTATTTCCTGCATCCCAATCTTGTGCCAAAGAAAGTTTGGTAATAAATGATTTTTAAGTAATACCATCACAATTTTTTTTAAAAAAATTGTTTCACATAATGGTTGCACCCCACTTTCGGCAAAAAAATTTGCCATAAAATCTGTGACGATTATGCAGTGAAATACAGTATTTGTCTTAACTCATAAGTAATGTAACTATAGGATTCCCAACTTCCTTTTTTCATAAAACCAGAATGCAATTTCCATTTAATCATTTACACATTATACCAAATACAAAAGAAAACAAGTGGTTTACAGACTCCCACCACCACCCAAATAGATTCCTAAATCTAACAGTATTTGAAAGAATGGCACTCTCAAATGTCCACTGGGCTATAATATCAATTAAACAGGCAAGTTTACATCATTTCACTTCTCTTTATTCTTCTGGTTCTTTTTAATTTTTAAAGCCAATTGCTCAAAAGAAAAGGGGATTTCTCTGTACTTTAAAAAAAATAGTGTTTTACACAATCATGGAATACCAAAAGAATAATAACTTTAAAAAAGTATTGAGTCAGTTGTTATCTCCAGTTCCAATAATTTTCGACCCTTTTGGGAAAACAAGAATAAAATAAATCATTAGAAAATGGCTTCAATTCTTTAGCCATACCTTCTCTCTCTTTCTCTATCATCAGGCAGATTTACAGTTTCTCACTTCCACTGAAGACAGTCAAGCAGGAAAGTATGCAAGCAGTGCAGACAAACATTAATCGTTAGTGTCATTACTTCACTCACCATCTGAATCTAAGCACCTTTCAAATTTCAAGGACAACTGATATGTGTCATAGCATCGAACTCGTGGCTTATATGTACCTATAACACAAAATTAATACAATGTAAAAACAGAACTGCATACATTTCATGATTAAGAAAGAACAGCATGATGACATTAGCATATAATCATCTAATGGCAAGGTAGCAAGGCAGGTCAGTTTCCTGTTATCAAAATGCAAACTATTTATACTCCACAGTTCCATGCTTTCTTCTGTTATCCCTCAGGCCCTTAGGAATTTTTCATCATTGGACCATGTGCGCCCAAGAAAGTTCTTGCTGCCATCACTCGATTGGTTCCACTTCCTTCCCTATGCATGGCATACAACGTAAACCAGTTTAATTTCTACCACCTTTTCTAATGGAGATTTATCCACAGTTTTAAATTATCTGTACCACTATGATATTTCATGAGTGTCAACAATTACGGAGTTGTCAGCTCCCTGTTTAATGTTAAATCTTTCACCTTATTTCCATTTGAAAATCAAGGGGGAAAAAAAGAGTATGAAAACATTAACAAAGTACTAGATTCTACTGTCTGAAACTACATTATCAAGCCTAAAATTCCACGTAGATTAGATTTATAAATTGTAACTTTACAAAGAAAAAGCCACACTAATATAAATTACATACCAACGAGTACACAACATCAACAATCTTTATTTTTGTTTAGAATTAAGACATTGCCAAGAAGCAGATTAAAAGAGTGGGGGAAAAAACAGAGAGCTGGGGATTTAAAAGATCTGGGTGTTAGTCTTTAGTTCAGTTATTTTCCAGTCATGTGACTGAGGGCAAGTTGCTAACTATTCTCAGACTCAATTTCCTCATCTGTAAAATGCGGATTAGATTATATTCAAGAAGTATTTATTAAGCACCTGGGACTACATTCTCCTGGGGGGAAAATAGTATCTGCCCTGTCTACCTCACAGGGTTCTTGTGAGGCTAACGTAAGAATGTGAAAACATTTTGTAAACTATGTGTCCTACAAATGAGAGGTAGAAAAAGCAGTAATACTGTACCTAGTACAAATGATGACCACATGCATACAGCTTATGCAATACCAATATGAAATTTAGGGGTAGAAAAATAGATGAGAAAATGAGTGTTCTTGCATTTTTTTTTTTACAGAACTAAATACTGCATGTAAAAACTAAATAAATCCATAAAAGAATACCTAGTGATACAAATGTTACTATATTTTCAAAACAGATTCTGAACATTACTATAAAACACCTGGCATATGGTGTCTAACAAATGTGTATAGGCTGATTTTCAAGATAACTGAAGAAGGGAATGAAATCAAAGATGAGGAAAAAAGGATCTCATAATTTATTGCTCTGAACCAAAAGGGTGACCAAGAAAGTACCAAGAACTATCAACTCATATACCTACTTTCCTATATATTTAAAATTTTTATGAGAATAATCTAAAAAGATATCAAGACCAACTCTGTAAGAAAGTATTAGAAAATGATAGGTAACCCTTTTAAAAGTGATATTTCCACTATTTCAAAATGAATGGCCACAGAAAAGGCATTTGGGCAACCATTTGCAAAAACTGACCACTAGATCTCTTCACCCAGATTCCTGACTTTCTGATCTGATGATCTTTGTCTCTTTTTGGTAATAATTCATGTGTTTGGTGTTCGTGAGTCAAAGTGAAAGTTTGTATATGTATATAAGATACATTCCAGGTAAATAAAGCAGAGAAAAATGTTTTCATGGGTTTTCTACATAATTAAAAATGAAATAATTTTTCTTCTAGTTATTATGTAGTGGTTAGAGCGCTGGACTTGTAGTCAGGGTGGCTTAGAGTCAAAGCCACCTTTTGTCACTTAATAGCTACACAATCAAGGGCAGGTCATTTGAGAGCTCTGAACCTTCATTCCCTTCTCTATAAAATGGAGATAATAATACCTACCTCATAAGCTTGTTGTGAGGAAGGAATAAAATACCATTTACTAAAGGGTTTTAAAGATTTTAAAGCATAAAAAAAATCATTCTATAGCAAACATTACCATACAAAACTGACTATTAATATACGGACTATAAGATCCCACTGTGCTTACTGTTTGATGACTATAAAAAAAATCATTTGTCATGCGATTATTAGGTGCCAGGCAGGCACTGTGCTAAGCACTAGGGAGACACAGGGAAAAAATAGTCTCCACATTTGATTTTGTGAAGCACAATACTATTTTGGTGTGTCTCTTCCTTCCAACAAGGGAAATTGCATGTATACGTCATACAAGATTCCTTGAAAGGTATGAGATAATCCAGTTCAAAGATCCTCTGATTATTAATATCAACACATAAAACAGGCAAATGTATGCTCATCAAAATCAATCAAGAAGCATTTATTAAGTGCCTACTACATGTCAGGCACTATGCAGGAAACAAAATGGGCAGAACTCTCATGGAGCTGACATTTATCAAGATGCTCACCATCATCAAGGGAGATCCAGTTACAGAGCCTGTCCACCAGTGTATCGTGAATACACACCACAAACAAATAGCGCTTCTGGCCCAGTGTCCATAGCCAACATCAGAGGAAGCAGCCCCTATGGAGATGAAACCTGGGAGCTACTCCAGCAGGTGCTAAAACCACTGCTACTTAAGACCCTGAAAAGAAACTTCTTCACACTGACAAATGGGTCTGCCTCAGACACTGATAGGATTTTACCCATGGAAATGACATTAAAGAGGCATTATCATTTCCTAAGACCCTCACAGAAGCTTTCCATCTGCCTTATAGTAGAAAAAGTTCCAGATGTGCTATTTCCCCATCAGTACATGGGCTCTTGAAGAGCAGGGATTGTCTTACCTTTCTAATTGTATCCCCAATGCCTTGCATAGAGTGCTTAAACACTTCATTCATTCATTCATTCATTCATTCATTCATTCATAATGAGCTGGGCCCAGAATTAAAGGGGGAGAAAGCAAGCTTGATTGACTTTGTGAAATGGCAGAGTTCTTTTAATTAATCCAAACTTTTCCCTAAAACAAAGGTTCATGTTTCCTGGTGGCTATAAAGAACTGATGTTACATCATGCCATTGGAGAAATGCATGATGGGCAGGAAAAGCTTAAGTACCTTCTAAACAAGCCATTGTTACATAGGAGGTGCAAAATGTAGAGGATGAAATTAAAAGAAAAATGCACAATTAAAAAAAAAAGATGAACCTGTCATGTCATGTGGACACAGTGAAATGTAAACTGAAAGACAGTTGGTATGCTTCACTAAGAGGCAGCTAAGTGACACAGTAAGACTTGAGTTCAAATGTAGCCTCAGATATTCCTAGCTGTGTGACCCTGGGTAAGTCACTTAACCTTGTATGCTTCAGTTTCCTCATCTATAAAATGAGCTGGAGAAGGAAATGGCAAATCACTCCAGCATCTTTGCAAAGAAAACCTTAAATGGGGTCATGAAGAGTTGGACACGATGGAAACAACTGAGCAACAACATGCTCTACTGACACATTCCTGAAATGTTAAGAGAATATCAAGAAAGTCTCTAGCATATGGGATAAAGCCCCTCCCACCCCCGCTTCCCCTGAAATACTTATTGACAGGGGTCAAACCAGATAAGGAGGCATGGAGGGAATTTGCAGGACACTTCACAGGGAAAGAATGAGTGATCAAAAGAATCTCAGCTTTAGCTACATTGGTAACCCCCATCTGAACCCAGCCAACAGAACCATCAAAACCTATTCAGCCAGGTATTAACTAGGATCCAAACCCCAGCAAAGCTCCCTTATCTGTAAGAATTAGCTAGAATCTACCAGGACTCCCTAAACTGCGTGCCCAGAGGCAAGCTAAATAAAGGGATGACTCTAATTAGGCTAGTGATATCAGAAGGTTCCTATAGAGGCCACTATCTTTCAGGGTCTTTACCAGGGCTTCCCATTGCTTCCAGAAATATAAACCTATCAACATTTAATAAAATAATTCTTTTTGCTATCATATTGTAATGCTTGTTGTCTTAGAGTGCCCACGACTCAAATCCAGGTCCTCCTTAGGCTACAATTATGATCTGCATTGTTAAAGGAAATATCCACATCTATGAGATCACAGATCCACTGGAATACTGTGATAAATTCTTCCCTTTATAACATGAGCTCTCTTCAACATATGCCATCTAAATTCCTAAAAAGTTGTTGTAAACTAAATTCTATATACCAAACTTGTTTTCTCACTAGCTTCCATTAGGTTATAAATGTTAATAATAGTGGTAAAAAGCTTAAAGAAACAACAGAATATCATCATTACTTGTGTCTGCAAAAAATATATTAAAGCTTGGGTCGAAAAAAAAAGTTTGTGTCAAAGTGTATTAATGAAGATAGTTGTGGTGAAAGCAATATAAAGGTCTGCCCTGCTGAGGCTAAGCTAGTTGTTAAAAGGTTTTGAAACCATCCTCAAGATTCAGTCAGACCAGGGAACTAAATGCTTCTGCCACTGGTACACCTCTGCTGCCCTTAATACAAAAGCTAGAGCACAAGTAGTCTCCTGGCTCATCCCTCAGACTCCTGACTGGCATACCAACAGCATGATCAATACTGGCAGAGGGAAGCTAACCTTGGTTGAATTGATGCTGCATCTTCATTGAATATCTTAGCCCTGCTCTAAATGGTTTTGCCCAGCTACAGCTAAGTAAACCTCCTTTTGTTAGCTGTAAGATGTTCTATAGGTGTCTTATTTTTGTGCCACTCTTAAATCTGAGATACCAGACCAGCCTATGTCAGTGATGTCCTGCTATAAAAAAGTACTAGACTCGAGCCAAGAAGCCTGAGTTCTAGTGTTGGCTCAACTATTGAATGATGTCAGGTGAATCACTTAACCCCTCTGGGTCTACCAGATGATTTTTAAAGTTCCTTGTAGTTACATTGTTGTGTTAAATACTTGGATCAACTAACTGGAACTACTCTTTAGGGCTATGCATGCAGATCTGCTAGCAGGGGAAAGGAAGAGTCTCAGAGTGCAGACTGTTCTTCTGTGACTCTGCTGCTTCACTAAACAAATACAAAATGGGACCAGAGGGAAGATATCTGCTTGAACTATTGCTTCTACCAAAATTCCACAAAAGTCAAATTAATTTAACATACATTTATTTTTTTTTCAATTTATTTATTTTTAGCTTTCAACATTCACTTCCACAAGATTTTGAGTTCCAAATTTTCTCCCTATCCCTCCCCTCTCCCCACTCCACGACAGGGTACATTCTGATTACCCCCTTCCCCCAATCTCCTCTCCCTTCTATTACCTCCCCACTTTCTCTTATCTCCTTTCCTTTCTATTCTCCTGTAGGGTAAGACAGATTTCTATACCTCATTGCCTATGTATCTTATTTCTCAGTTGGTAATGTGGAAACAATTTTTAACATTCACTTTTTAAAATTTTGATTTCCAAATTCTCTCCTCTCCTTCCTCTCCTCCCATCCTCATTCAGAAAGCATGCAATATGATATGGGTTGTGTAGTCATGCAAAACACTTCCATGAGAGTTATGTTGTGAAAAACTAATCCCTCCATCCTATCCCACCCCCCATTTATTCTATTTTCTCCTTTGTCCCTCTCCCTTCTTAAAATTGTTTGCTTCTAATTACCCTCTTCCCCAATCTGCCCTTCCTTCTATCACCCCTCCCTCTCTTATCCCCTTCTCTCCTACTTTCCTGTAGGGTAAGATAGATTTCCATACCCAATTGAGTGCATATGTTATTCCCTCCTTAAGTCAAATCTGATAATAATAAAGTTCACTCATTCCCTCTCATCTCTTCCCTCTTCACCTCCACTGTAAAAGCTTTTTCTTGCCTCTTTTATGTGAGATAATTTACCCCATTCTACCTCTCCCTTTCTCCTTCTCCCAGAACATTTCTTTCTCTCACCTTTTAATTTTATTTTTTAGAAATCATCTCTTCATATTCAATTCACCCTGTGCCCTCTGTCTTTATATATTCCCTCCAATTACCCTAATAATGAGAAAGGTCTCATGATTTACAAATATTATCTTTCCATGGAGGAATATAAACAGTTCAACTTTAATAAGTCCCTTATGATTTCTCTTTCCTGTTTACCTTTTCATGCTTCTCTTGAGTCTTGTATTTGAAAGTCAATTTTCCTATTTAGCTCTGGCTTCTCAAGAATGCATTAAATTCCTCTACATCATTGAATGTCCATTTATACTCGGTTTTGCTGGGTAGATGATTCTTGGTTTTAATCCTAGCTCCTTTGACCTCCGGAATATCACATTAAAAGCCCTCCAATTCCTTAACATAGAAGCTGCTAAATCTTGTGTTATCCTGACTGTGTTTCCACAATACTTGAATTGTTTCCTTCTGGATGCTTGCAATATTTTCTCCTTGACTTGGGAACTTTGGAATCTGGCTATAACATTCCGGGAAGTTTTCCTTTTGGGATCTCTTTCAGGAGGTGATTGGTGGATTCTTTCAATTTCTATTTTACCCTCTGGTTCTAGAATTTAGGGCAGTTTTCCTTGATAATTTTTTGAAAGATGATGTCTAGGCTCTTTTTTTCATCATGGCTTTCAGGTAGTCCAATAATTTTAAAATGATCTCTCCTGGATCTATTTTCCAGGTCAGTTGTTTTTCCAATGAGATATTTCACATTGTCTTCTATTTTTTCATTCTTTTGGTTTTGTTTTATAATTTCTTGATTTCTCATAAAGTCATTAGCTTCCATTTGCTCCATTCTAATTTTTGAGGAATTATATTCCTTAGTGAGCTTTTGGACCTCCTTTTCCATTTAGCCAATTCTGCTTTTTAATGCATTCTTCTCCTCTTTGGCTTTTTGGACCTCTTTTGCCATATGAGTTAGTCTATTGTTTAAGGTGTTATTTTCTTCAGTAATTTTTCTTGGGTCTCCTTCAGCAAGCTAAAATTTTTCACAATTTTCTTGTATCACTCTCATTTCTCTTCCCAATTTTTCCTCTACTTCTCTTACTTGATTTTCAAAATCCTTTTTGAGCTCTTCCAAGGCCTGAGACCAATTCATGTTTTGCTTGGAGGTTTTGGATATGGGAGCTTTGACTTTGTTGTCTTCTGATTGTATGTTCTGATCTTCCTTGTCACCAAAGTAAGATTCTATAGTCAGAGTTATTTTTTCCTCTGTTTGCTCATCTTCCCAGACAATTACTTGACTTTTTAATTCTTTGTTAAGGTAAGCTCTGCTTCCAGTGTGGAGGGTGTACTGTCCCAAGCTTCAAGGGTTTTGTGCAGCTGTTTTCAGAGCTACTTCTAGGCACCTGTAAGTTTTCAGTTCTTCCAAGGGTAATATGATCTAAGGAGAGGTATTTACTCCTCTCCTGGCCTGTGCTCTGGTCTGTGAGTGACCACAAGCACTCTTATCTGCCCTGGAACTGTGAGGAGGGCTCCTTTTCCACTGCTGGCATAAGTTCTGCTATGCCAATGCTCCTCCTCACCCCAGGACTGCCACCCAGATCTAAGTATGAGCAAAGCAAAAGAATCCTGCCTCAGACAGCAAAGAGATCTCTGTAATCTTCTTCTGGTCAATTGTTCAATCCCCTTACTATCTGTGGCATAAGAGCTCTGGAAGCAGCTACTGCCACTGTGGCTGCCATTCCAGGGCTACGCTAGGGAAACGGCTGGACCGAGCTCCTCTCTCTCCCAGGTCCAACAAACCTTTTCCACTGACCTTCTATGTTGTCTTTAGCATTTGTGGGTTGAGAAGTCTAGAAATCATCACAACTGCCTGTGATTCAGTCCTGAGGCCTGCTCTGGGTTTGCTGGGGCCCCATCTTTGCCAGCATGGCCCCTGCTGAACTGTGCTCCTCTCCGAGACTAGAGCAACAGACCTTTCTCATTGACCATCCAGGTTGTCTTGGGCTGGAAATTTGTTTCACTGTCTTTTTTGTGGGTTCTGCTACTCTAGAATTTGTTTAGATTCATTTTTTACAGGTATTTGGAGAGGTTTGGGGGACAGCTCATGTAAGTCCCTGCTTTTACTCTGCCATCTTGGCTCCACCCCAATTTAACATACATTTAATCTATTCCTCAATTTGCCATTCCCACTCAGTACATCACAAACTTTTGGCCACTACAAAGATGGTATGTTTAGCATATCATTATTTCTTAGATTTTCACATGACTTGAAAATTTTTTATTAGGAAAGTAAAGAGCAGAAAAGGAAAGTTATAATAACAATGCTAACAATCAGAAAGAAAAGAGCATCAATGCTGTGATTGTTGTACTTCAAATACTCTAATAATTCAAATGATCTCAACCCTTCCTTTTCCTTAGTAAATGACCCCACGAGACGCTATGAGCAAAAAAAAAAAAAATTAACAACCGGTGACCAACCTCTTGATTACCAACTCTCCTCACTTAACTCGGCCAGAGTTAGAAAGTAAACTGTCCTTAGCCCCATATGGAACTTTTTTAGTTCAACAGAACATGGGAAAACTTGCAATCCATCCTTCAAAAACAACAGTCATCTTTACAATAAGGCATCAGAGGAGGAAATTTGGTGAAGGGAATATGTGAATGTGAGTGTGTGTGTGTGTGTGTGTGTGTGAGTGAGAGAGAGTGAGTGAGAGTGAGAGAGAGAGAGAGAGAGAGAGAGAGAGAGAGAGAGTGTCTCCCTATGAAATATATTAAATATGGCTGGGATAAAGAATGTGAATGGACAGTCTCAGGACCAATGAATGTCTGCATTTAATATAAATATATGATGTATAACATCCCAAGTTCATGGGCATGTCACTAATCGGGGGGGGGGGAGAACACACAAAAAAACACCAAGGAAATAATGCCATGTCTATAAATTTTAGCAGATGCCATGTTTATTGTATTGAGTTATTATATTATGAGGGATAGTCCTAATATGAAATGTCAATGAGATGATAAAAGTAAAACATCTGATAAGAGATTCAGTCTTAAAAGTTAGAAGAGACCTCAAATATTCTGGTCTAACCACAGTCTGAAACATAGTACTTCTATAATGTCCTGAACAAGTGACACAGCCCCTAATTAAAGATATTCAGTGACAGAGAACTCACTACCTCTAGAGGTCACCCATGCTGTTTTTGGACAACTACAATTATTGGCAATTTTCTTTATAATCTGCTGAAATGTGCTTAAAATTGTAAGCTACAACAATAACTTTCAAAATGACTATGCATCAATACAGTATACCTAAAAGTGACTATTTTCATTACCACATTTTCTATAAATGGATAAAATATTAACACTTACCAGTTGCTAAAATATACTGTCCATCTTTTGACACTTTAATAGTGGTGCTAACCGTGGGCATTTCAAAATCCTGGATAAGTTCGATTCTCCTCCGAATATCTACAGAGAGACAGAACAAGGAAAAAAAATTTAATGAACATATGCATGAAATTCACCAGATACTTACTTGTTCTATTCAAAAGTTACCAATTGCCAAATCATTCTAGGCCATCAGTAAGTAATCCCAAATTGCCTCCTCCATTAAATAAGGATGATTATTGGGTTTCTTTTTTAAACCCTGTATTTGTATACTTGCACTTTTTAGTTTCCCATCTCAGAGGTAACAAACATTAACTCTAAAAAATATCTCTACCAAGAAAACATCTATAGTATTAAAGAATGGAGAGAAAGAGAAAAGTACAATTAATGTTAACCTATTACCACTAGATTAAAAGGAATACAAACTTATTAGAATTTTACCAAAATCTTGTTTTACATGACCCTTGGGTCTTCTTTATTTTAGGTGTAAAAAACCAAATAGAAAAATATTTGTTTATTTCTATAGAACTTTCAACTCATGTAAGAAAATACTTATCATTACCCTTTGGGCATGCCAGTACAACTAATTTAACTCAGATTACCCCAGGATAAAATATTTAGGGAAAGGAAGAAAAGTAGCCCCATCTGAGACACTGAAGCACTGATACCTACATTTATCTGTACTAGTTCCCCACCCTCCAATTTGTGTTGCTACTGGTGTGTTCAGGATGTTATAGTATGGGACAAAATCAGAAAGATTATTACCTGTGGGACAATGGGAAAGATATTAAGATGTCACAACTAAGGTCAGTTAGTCAACAAGCATTTATTAAACCTTTATCAGCTGCCAGGCACTACGCTAAGCACTGGAAATACAAAAAGAAATGCAGAAATAAGTACCTGCTCTCAAGAAGCTCACAGTCTAATGAGGGGCACAATGTGCAAAGAGTAATAGTCAAATAAGATCTATACGTGGTCCTTGGAAGTCATTTCATAGGGAAGACACTAACATTAAGGAAGCCCAAAAAAGGATTCTTGTAGATGGCAGAATTTTAGTTGAGAAATAAAGGAAACCAGGAGGCAGAGAAAGCATTCTACTCATGGGGGACAGTCAATGAAAATACAGGGAGTCAGGGACAGAGTATCTTGTGCAAGGAATAGCAAGGAGGCCAGTGTCACTCTATGGTAAAACATGTGAAAGCGATTAAAGTGCGAGAAAAAACAGAAAGGTAGGAAAAAGCCAGGTTATAGAGGGTTTTAAGAGTTAAACTGGATTTCAGATATTATCTTAGAGGTAAAAAGGAACCACTAAAGTTAGGTACCATCAGTTTGGTAGCCGAGTGGAAAATGAACTGAAGTGGGGACCCGAGGTAGGGAGACCAACTAGAAGTCAATTCCAATAGTCCAAGCAGGTGTAAGTTGACGAGGGCCTGCACCAAGCCAGTGGAAGTATCAGAGGAGAGAAGAAGACACATACAAGAGATGTCACGCAGGGAGAAACAACAGAACTTGGTAAAAGATTAGAAATGGAGGAGTAAGTGTGAGGATTCAAGGTTGACACCTAAGCTGAGAGCTTAGGTGACTGGTAGGATGGTGATGTCCTCAATAGTAACAGGAAGTTTGGAAGAAGGGAAGGTTTGGATGGAAAGAAGGTTCAGTTTTTTACATGATGAGTCTGGATGCAAAGAAGGTTCAGTTTTTTACATGATGAGTTTGGATGCAAAGAAGGTTCAGTTTTTTACATGATGAGTTTGGACGGAAAGAAGGTTCAGTTTTTTACATGATGAGTTTGGATGGAAAGAAGGTTCAGTTTTTTACATGATGAGTTTGGATGGAAAGAAGGTTCAGTTTTTTACATGATGAGTTTGGATGGAAAGAAGGTTCAGTTTTTTACATGATGAGTTTTAGATGTCTACAGGACATTCAAGTTAAAATGTCCAAAGGCACTTGGTGATGCCCGGACTCAGGAGACATACTAGGGCTGGATAAACAGATCAGAAAATCATCAGCATAGAGAAAATAATAGAGTCCATATAAGCTGATGAGATCACCAAGAGAAAAAGGATAAAAGGAAAAGACGGTTCAGAACAGAGCTCTGGGAGACATCCATAGTTGGTGGACATAATCTAGTTAAGATCCAGTAAGGAAGACTAAGAAAGAATGGTCAGTCAAGTAGAAGGAGAACCAGAAGAAAAAGAAGAAAATTCTAGCAAAAGAGAAGAAAAATAAAACCTAGAGTGAAGAGAATAGCTGGGGGAAAAAGGGTATCAACAGTATCAAACATTAACAGGCCAAGAAGGCTGAGGACTGAGAAAAGGCCATTAGAGAGTTAAGAAAAAAAGTGAGAAGAAAGGAAATGGAGGCACATCTTGATTGTAGATAGTTTTGTGAAGGCGTTAGGCCATCAAAGGGAAGAGAGATAAAAGACAATAGCTAGCAAGAAAGAATGTATTAAGTAAGGGGTTTTGTTTTTTGTTTTTTTAAGAATAGAGATGGGGGGTGGGCAGTAGGGAAGCAGCCATCAGACTGGGAAAGTAAGGATGAATTTTAATCTGCACCAAGAGGAAACTACCCACATAATTATTATTATAACAGCAATGACAACGAATCAAAAATACAGAAAAAAAATACAGAAAATAAAAGTAATCATAGGGGTCCAAAAAGGTAAACAAGAAATCTGATATTATTTTATTAAGGTTAATACATTTTAAAATAAATCACAGTTTTGAATTTATGGTTTTATCTATATTCACTATTTTTTAATTTTTTTTTTGTTGATAGTTACTAAGTGATAGACATCGTGAAGTAGTAAATAGAGAGCTGACCTCAAAGCCAGTAAGACCTGCATTCAAATTATGCTTCTGACATTACTGGCAGTGTGATCCTTGGCTAGTCAATAACTTCTCAGTGCTCTAGGGAACTCTCTAAGACTATAAGTTATTCTCTATACCAATGAAATTACAGACTGATTCTAGGTCTGTATCCCAAAGAGATCATAAAATGGGAAAAGGACCCCCACGTACAAAAATATTTACAGCAGCTCTTTCTGTGGTGGCAAAGAATTGGAAATTGAGGGAATGGTCATCAATTGGGGAATGGCTCAACAAGTTGTGGTATATGAATGTAATGGAATACTACTGTACTATAAGAAATGAGGAACAGGCAGACTTCAGAAAAACCTGGAGAGACTTGTATAGTCTGATGCTGAGTGAAGTGAGCAGGACCAGGATAACATTGTACAAAGTAACAGTCATGTTGTGCAATGACTAACTTTGATAGACTTAGCTCTTCTCAGCAATGCAATGATCTAAGATAACTCCAAATGACTCATGATGGAAAATGTTACCCACATCCAGAGAAAGAACTATGGAATCTGAATAAAGATCAAAGCATACCATTTTCTCTTTTTGTTTGTTTTTTCTTCCTTGTGATTTTTCCCTTTTGTTCTGATTCTTCTTTCACAACATGACTAATGTGGAAATGTTTAATATGATTATACACACAGAGCCTATATCAGATTGCATGCCATCTTGGGGAGGGGGGAAAATTTAGAACTTAAAATCTTATAAAAGTAAATGTTGAAATAAATTAATCTAAAAAAAAGTAAAGAACTACTGATTTTTTGAAATCTAAGATGTAGAAAATGGTGTCCACTAGCAGTTTAAATGAAAATTTATTTTGTGGTGTTAATGCTAGGCAAATTAATTTCCTAAATATATTTATTTGTAAATTCTGATTATCTTTGAAATAAAGTACTCAACATAAACATAAAAAAAAATTTTCAACCACACCCTCCCCAAAAAGGGGCCAAAAAAAGTAAAACAATCAATTTAAAGGAAATCTCTGACATGTGGCAAAGAATAATAATGCAAAAAATCTAAGGAAGGCCAAGATGGCAGAGTAAAAGCAGTGACTTGCTTGAGCTCTCCCCCAAACCCCTCCAAATATCTATAAAAAAATGTCTCTACACAAATTCAAAAACAGCAGAACCCACAAAAAGACAGAGCGAAACAAATTTCCAGCCCAAGACAGCCTGGATGGTTGATCGGAAAGGTATATCACATTGGGCGGGGAGAGGAGCACAGTTCGCAGAGAGCCTAGAGCAGGCCTCAGAGGACTGAATAGCATGCAGCTGTGGCGGTTTCCAGACTTCTCATCCCAGGAATGCCAAAGACAATTTGGAAGGTCAGTGGGAAAAGTCTGTGTCAGCAAGGAGAGAGAGAAGCCGGTGGTCTCACCTCCAGTCCCCAAGCTCAGCGAGGGCAGCGGCTACCTCCTGAGCTTCCAGCCCACAGACTTAGGGGGAATCAAGTGGCTGATCAGAGGGGGATTGCAGAGATCTCTCTGCTGCTGCAGGATTCTCTTGCTTTGCCCGGGCTTGGATCTGGGTCACAGTTCTGGGTGGCGGTCCTTGGGCAAGGAGGAGAACTGACGTGGTGGAGCTTGTAGTGGCTGTGGAGAGGAAACCCTCTTCACAGTTCCAAGACAGAAAAGAGTGCTCATAGACCACAGCACCGGCCAGGAAAGGAATAAACACCTAGCCCTTGATCATAGCACCTTGGAAGAACTGAAAATTTGCAGGTCCCTAGGAGTATCTCTGAACACAGCTGCACAAAACCCCTGAAGCTTGGGACAGTACATTCTCCACACTGGAAACAGACTCCTACCTTAACAAAGAGTTTATAACTCCAGTAATTGGCTGGGATCGTGAGTAAGCAGCGCAAAAAGAGTCAGACTGTATTATCTTACTTTGGTGACAAAGAAGATCAAAACATACAACCAGAAGAAGACAATGAAACCAAAGTTCCTACATCCAAAGCCTCCAAGAAAAATATGAACTGGTCCCAGGCCATGGAGGAGCTCAAAAAGGATTTTGAGAAGCAAGTAAGAGAAGAAGAGGAAAAACTGAGAGTGATGCTAAAGGAGACCCAAAAAAATACTGAAGAAAATAACATCTTAAAAAATAGCCTAACCCAAATGGCAAAAGAGGTCCAAAAAGCCAATGAGGAGAAGCACGCCCTTAAAAGCAAAATTAGCCAAATGGAAAAGGAAGTCCAAAAGCTTACTGAAGAAAATACTTCCTTAAAAATTAGAATGGAGAAATTGGAAGATAGGTGCAATATGAGAAATCAAGGCACTGTAACACTAATCAAAATGAATGAAAAAATAGAAGAGTATGTAAAATATCTCACCGGAAAAACAACTGACCTGGAAAATAGATCCAGGAGAGATAACTTAAAAATTATTGGACTATCTGAAAGCCATGATTAAAAAAAGAGCCTAGACATCATCTTTCAAGAAATTATCAAGGAAAACTGCCCTGATATTTTAGAACCAGTGGGCAAAATAGAAATTGAAAGAATCCACCGATCACCACCTGAAAGAGATCCCCAAAGGAAAACTCCTAGGAATGTTGTAGCCAAATTCCAGAATTCCCAGGTCAAGGAGAAGATATTGCAAGCAGCCAGAAGGAAACAATTCAAATATTGTGGAAACACAACCAGGATAACACAAGATTTAGCAGCTTCTATATTAAGGGTCCGGAGGGCATGGAGTATGATATTCTGGAGGGCAAAGGAATTAGGACTACAACCTAGAATCACCTACCCAGCAAAACTGAGTATAATCCTTCAGGGTAAAAAACAGTCATTCAATGAAATAGAGGCCTTTCAAGCATTCCTATGGAAAAGACCAGAGCTGAATAGAAAATTTGACCTTCAAATACCAGACTCAAGTGAAACATGGAAGAGGTAAACAGGAAAGAGAAATCATAAGAGACTTATTAAGGTTGAACTGTTTACATTCCTGCAGGGAGAGATGATATTTGTAACTCATGAGTCCTTTGTCAGTATTAGGGGAGTGGAAGGGAAAAAATTATGTTTGTATAGATAGATAGATAGATAGATAGAGGACACAGGGTGAGTTGAAGATGAAGGGGTGATATCTGGAAAATAAAATTAAGGGGTGGGAGAAGATTATACTGAGAGAAGGAGAAAGGGAGAAGTAGAATGAAGTAAAATATCTCACATGAAACAGACAAGAAAAGGCTTTTACAGTGGAGGGGAAATGGGGGAAGGTGAGAGGGAATGAATGAATCTTATTCTCATAGGATTTGGCTTAAGGAGGGAATAACATACACAATGGGATATGGAAATCTATCTTACTGTACAGGAAAATAAGGGGGGAAGGGGACAAGAGAGCAGGGGGTTGATAGAGGGGAGGGCAGATTGAGGAAGGGGATAATCAAAAACAAGCACTTCTGAGGACAGACAGGGTCAAAAGAGAGAATAGAATAAATGGGGGGTAGGATAGGATGAAGGGAAATATCCTTAAGTTTTTTCACAACAGGACTACTATGGAAGTGTTTTGCATGACTACTCATCTACAATCTGTATCGAGATGCTTGCCTTTTCAATGAGGGTGGGAGGGGAGGGAGGAAGGAAGAAAATTTGTAACCCAAAGTTTTAAAAACATATGTTAAAAATAAAAAAAAATTTTTTTTAAAATCTAAGGAAAATTATTCACCATTATCCCATAGGAGTTCACATACCTTTGACATTTTTATCTTTTTTTATACATTTACCCAAAATTGAATAAGCTTCTAGAAGGATTTGTGATTCAGACTTATTAATTTATGCATTAAATATGGGTTTGGTTAAAAAGAAATGCTTCTTCTTGGTTCTATAACTTGCGAGTAGCAAATAAAATTTAAATACAGAATTATACTGGCTTGGAGACATAAAAAAATTAAACTCACCAACATCTTTCTTTTGCAGTGCTCTCTTCTTTCTGTCAGAAAGCCACTGAAAGAAAATTGATCTTCTCATAAGTATTATGTTATACAAAAATGAGAGTAATTTTTAAAAACAGTACATTTTAAACTTTACATAAAACAGAACCTCATTTTTGGAAGAAATTTTTTAAAATTATAACCAAAGTGATTAAGTTCCACTAAACTCTTGATAGGATGGTGTCAATGATCAAAACAGAAGCTCTGATAGGTCCTACCAAGCTGAAAAGGTTTTCAATACAGTGTCAATCTAAGTAAATTCCAAAGAAATACATCATCAGAAAGTTGGCCACAAGGTAATGAATTATTAGTCCAAAACAATTCATGAAATCATCTAAGATGTAGAAATATTATTATCAGCTTTGGTGGAAGGAGTACCTATGACAAAATCATTATTTTTGTCAGGAACTGAAAAAATACTACTATTAGGATCACAGATTTAAATCTGGAAGGAACCTGAAAGTACTATCCTATCCCGTTTTACAGTTGAAGAAACTGAGCCCCAAGAAGGTTACATGACTTGTTTAAGGTCACACAAGCTAGTAAGCATTAGAGGAAGGATTTGAACAAAGGTGCTCAGACTCTTTTCATGGTATCATGTTACCTTTATTATGAGATAAAACAAACAAAATAATTCAGAATTTTAGTAAATTCATAAGTGAACAGGACAATAAAAATCAGTCTGTTACCTAAAAAAGTTTTATGTCAAATTGCCTCTTGCTATGTGAAGCAAACACAGTAGCTCTATTCTATGTGACATGAACCAACAAGGGAGCAGAGTGGTCAATTTGATGATACTCTGAATAAGTTCAAGAGAAGAAACAAAACAATACTGAGTTCTCTTTTAATAACAACAGTTTATGGACCTTGTTCTTAGTGCCCTGCTTAACAACTTCATTTCTAAATAATTCACTAGTAAATTTCAATAAAGTAAACATGTTTGTTGCTATTCCCAATAACTGAATGGTACCACTCACTACTTTTGAAGTTTGGGATTTAATCTGGAACTTTCTTGTTACCACACTGTCAGTTTTCCAATCTAAAAGTTATGTTAATCTCCTCATTCAATTTCTATGACTTACCTGAGGCAGCAAAACTTCAAAATGCAAACCAGATAAAAGCTAAGGTTTCTATACTATATTTCTCATTTCTCAAAATATCTTCTTAAATTAACAAACTATAAGCTTCTCCAATGGCAACTCATTCAGGAGTTTCTGTACAAAATGACTATACTCTTGAAATATGGTGCACATGTGTGTGTGTGTGTGTGTGTGTGTATGTGCTCGTGTGAATGTGTAAGGATAGATTCAGTACAACAGAATGACAGAACTGAATATGAAGTCAAAAAGGTTCACTGATGACACAGAATTCAAAGCCATCACTAAATTGTAATAGCTGGGCACTGTACTGGCCAATGATAGTTAATATGGATAAGGAAGAGAATACAGCTATTTCAAAGAACTATAAATGGCTTATTCCTGCTATAAAAATAGAGATGTTGCACTACAAAGTTACAATGTTTAAATGACTGACACAAATTAAGGTAATTTACCCAAGAGAACAGGTATCCTCTGGAGTTAGTGAGTATACCGAAGACACTACTGAAAAACACCTGAATGACTAGAATTTTGCAGGCATGGGACTAGTAATAAAACTCAGAGCATCACTCACATTGTGTCAGATACAGAGAACAGCAGGATTCCCAATTGACTAACACATGATGAAATGAAAAGGAATGACAACATAAGCAGAAGAAATAATAAACCAAAACACTATCAAATTCAACTTATAACGATATTATCAGTGACTAAAAGACTGAATTGGGCAACCTAAATCTGGGCTAGAATAATCTCCTCAACCTTTAAAGCAAAGTGGGCACAACAGTAAATAATAACTGACACAGGTAACAAACAGTAACCAGAATTACCCAGAATCGGGTAGTTTTGTAAGTGAAAAGGATCTGAAAGGCAATTTAGACCTCTTTTAACTAGATGACTTACATGGCCTCTTTCACCTTCAAATCCACTCATCAATGAATAAATGAATATTATTGAGGTCAGGCAAAATTGTAAACATTCTCAGATCTATCTTTTTAAGACCTATTACTGCTCAGAGGGAAAGAGCTTCAATTGAACATTAATTCATACACTTATCCTTTCTAATAAACCTTCAAAAACCAGAAAGGCCTTCAAAAGTCATGATTCAAAATCAAAGAATCCAAGAGTTAGAAGGAATCCCAGAAGCCATCCAGTCAAATCCATACCTAAGCAGGAGTCTCCTCTAAAACATCCCCCACTCACTGGTGGTTATTTGGCAACTTCCAATGAAAGGACACCCTCTACCTCCAGAGGCAACCCATTCCACCTGTAGAAAGCTCTAATTATTTTATATTTATTTCCTATCTCCTCTTCTCTTCTCCACAGGATAAACATCCTACTCCCCGTTTAGCATTAGCTGTGCAAACCTTAGACCAGTCACTTAACTTCTCTGAGCCTCAGTTTCGTGTATGCGTGAACCAGATGAAATCATCTATTTCTAAGTCCCTTCCCAGCACTCTGATCCCGGCAGGAAGTACATACGAGCTCTCTGGCCTACGTACGAAAGGGCCTCTTCTCTCCGACGATGCCCCAAAGATGCTGGGTCTATGGAGCCCGCAGGAGCCTGACTGTTCCCGGGAAGAGAAGCATGAGATGCGAGTGCTGGGAAAGATGGCGTGAGTAAGGGGCCCAGGGTACCCAGGGAGTGCCGGAGAACCGGGGAGGAAGGCACGAAACTCACCTCAGGGAGGGATTTGCCGCAGCTCAGGCTGTAAATCTTCACTTCATTGAGGTTAGAGACCTGCATGGTCGCTCTTATTCGCTGACGCCTCCGGCATGCAAGTGTGAAACTTCTCACCGGAGCCCACGAGCTGCGACGCGGGCGCGCTCCTATGACGCACTTCCGGCCTCGGCGAGCCGGCGAGCGGAAGCGGAAAGCCGTGGCCGTAGGAATAAAGAAGGCGGAGAAAGCTGAAAGAAACACCTCCTCCTGGCCCTGCCTTTCGCGTTTCCTAGAACGCGCATGCGGAGTCGTTGAGCTACGGGCTTTGTAAGCGAACGTTGCTCCCTAGTTAGCTCCAGTTTGAGGCTCCGAGGGACCGGGACCGGAGGGGGTGCTTCCTGCTATCCTTTTTCCGCAGTTGTTAAGCCCTAGGCGGCCTGACCCTGCAAAGATGAGTGGCCCATCCTGGGTTAGGGATGTTTGACCCCTTAAAAGGGAAGTGGAGAGAGGCAGTCACTTTTCTGTAAAAATAGCAGGGTTTGGACCGTGAGCTCAGTGCCTGGTACACAGTAGGCGCTACATAGATGTTAGCTCTTGTTGCTGTTACTGTATCTCCAAAAGCTCCAGCGTTCCGTCTCCTCAGGCCTCTTTTAGCTCTGACGTTCTGTGTTCTAATGACCTCCCCACGTCTGACATCCTATGTCCTTAAACAAGGAAACGTTCGATAAGCACTGGGGATACAAGAAAATGAGAAAACAATCCCTGTCCTTTCCTTTCAGAAGTTTACGTTCTATTTTTCCCAAAAAATAGGAGTGTTTTTTTTAATTATTATTTTTTTCTACCAGTTTCCCCGACCTCCCTATTGAAAAAAGAAAGTGAAGAATAACCCTAGTAACATATGCATAGTCAAACAGCAAATTCCCACGTTGGCTTATTTCCTAAAATGTGTGTCCCATTCTGCATCTTGAGACTTCACCTTTATGTCAGGGCAGGTAGCATAGATGTCATGGGTGCTCTGGAATTGTAGTTGGTCATTGCATTGATAAGAGTTCTGAAGTCTTTCACAGTTGTTCTCCTGGTTCTACTCACTAAACTCTACATCAGTCAAGAAGCTTGTAGTCTAATTGGAAAGAATGTGTATATATTCATATAATACATATATACTATGTATGGTATATCTACTTTGTTATACACATGCACATATATGTATACATACACACACACACACACACACACACACACATATATATATATATATATATACACATACATGTATCCCGTTTGGTCACAGTTCTGGCACCAAGTAGAACAAGTCTAAATCCTTTTCCGTATAGCAGACCTACAAATATTTGAAGACAACTATCACGTCCCCATCTAAGTCTTTTCTTCTCTAGGTTCAACATCCCCATTTCCTTCAACCATTCCTAATGTGGTATTGCCTCTAGCCCTTTCACCATCTTGATCACCTTCCTCTGGGTACCCTATCTTGTCAATGGGCCTCCTAAGATGAAGTGACCAGAACTAAACTCAGTACCCTAAAGCATGTGGTATGACCAGGGCAAAGAGTCATACAACCAACACCTTCCTTGCTTTAGATGCTAAATTTATATTAATGCAAGCTAAGATCACATGTAGCTAGTTGATGCAGTGGATAGAGTACTCGGCCTGGAGTCAGGAAGACTCAACTTCCTGAATTCAAATCTGACCTCACACACTTACTGTGTGACCCTGGACAAGTCACTTAATTCTGTTTGCCTCAGTTTCCTCATGTTATAAAATAAACTGGAGAAGGGCATGACAAACCACTCCAGTATCTTTACAAAGAAAACTCCAAATGGGGTCACAGAGAATCAGACATGAATGAAAATGACTGAACAACACGATCACATAAGGGTTTTGTTTTGGGGGTGGAGAAGGTGACTTTGCAATCCATTAGAACACCTAGGATTGTTTCATTGTTGTTTAAAGTATGAACTATTTTCTAGTCATGTTTCTCTAGGCATACACATTTTATTCTTTGCCATCAAGTACAGGACTTAATATTTGTCCCTATGAATTCAATTAAGTTCACCAAACATTTTAAGCACTTACCAGGTTCAAGGAACAGTGTAAAATTCTGGGAATATAAAGACAGCCTTTGCCTTCAAGTAGTTTATGGTCTACTGGGAGGGGGCCATCTCCAGTTGTCCTAATCTATATCTTGTCAATGGACCCAGATGATTCCAGAGGAGAAAGTGTGGTTGGTGACTTGCACAGCCCTCCCTCACTTAAAGCCAATTCACTTGCAAGTCATGGCATCACCCTCCTGATATCATAGTCCTCTTCAAGAATGAAGCACAACACATAACACTCTAATACTCACTAGCTGTGTGACCCTGGGCAAATCACTTAACCCCAATTGCCTCGAAAAAAAAAAAAAAGAACAACATTCTACTGGGAGATACAGCATGTACAGAAATAAGTAGATACAAGTTAACTTGAGTAGCAGAACAAACTAACAATTGAAGTGATTGAAGAAGGCTCCATTAGGCATAAGGGTCCTACTACAATAAATAAAATGCTAAATTTGGAGTTTTCAAGACTTGAATTTGAATCTTGCCCCAAATACTTACTAACTGCGTGACCTTGGACAAGGCACTTAAGCTCTCTTGGCTTCAGTTTCCAAATCCATAAAATGGAGATAATAAAAGGTCTTGCTTCCCAAGGTTGTTGGAAGGACCAAATGAAAAAACATAGATAAGTGTTAGCTATTAGAGGAGATGGCATCTAAGTTGAGTTTTGAAAGAACATAATGATTCTGAAATCAGAAATAAGGAAGGGGTGATTCCAGGTATGTGAATATGCGAGTGGTGGGAGATAGAATGATAAATCACAGGAATAGCTTGTATCTATCTAGTGTCCCCTGGTTGAAGCAAGAGCTTACAGAAAAGGGGACTCACATCCATCAGAGAAGCCCAGGTCCAAAGTACCAAAGGGCATTAGAAGAGATAGGAGACACAGAGTTACCCGTGAGTCTGAGGGGGTTGGGGCTTATTCTTGAGCTGTATCTTCAGGACACTCTTCATTCCTAAGGGATGAAGTGGTGAAATGAATACAACTCTGGGCCTGCAGTCACAAAGATTTGAGTTCAAATGTGGCTTCAGATACTTTGTAGTTGTATGACCGTGAGCAAGTCACTTAACCTCTGTCTGCCTCAGTTTCCTCATCTGGAACATGGGGATTATAATAGCACCTACTTCCCAGGATTGTTGTGAATATCAAATGAGATAATATTTGTAAAGTGCTTAGCATAGTACTTGGTACACAATAGACACTATATACATATTAGCTATTATTATTATAGGAGAATTGCCAAATTAAGCTTAGTCCTGCCCAAAGAGCCTAAACATCAGGCATTTACTGACTGAGATCCTTAGTCAGAAGTCTCTGCCACTGCCATTCTCCACTTGGAAGCAAGTTCCCTAGTGTTCGAAATGACTAATCATGCTCAGTCATCACAGAACTTTACAAATTATTGTGTCCTGATTTAATTATTATATGGAGTATTCCCCAGTAGAATGTGAGCTCCTTGAGAAAAGAGATTGTTTTACATTTTTTTTATCATATATGAACAGTAAATTTCACATTTTAATATTTGATCAATATCTCATTTTTTCTTCCTAGACTAAATTAGCCATCATAGAATTGTTTTTGGTTGTTTTTTTTTCTTAATCTGGAAGTGTGGAAAGAGCCCTGAATCTAGAGTCAAGAAGACCTGAGTTCAGATCTCATCATAAGTACTTGCTAGCCTGATGACCATGGACAAGTCATTTAACGTCTGTGGGTTTCTTCATCTGTAAAATTAGAGTACTGGATTTGATGACCTCTATGGTTCCTTCCAGCTCTAAATCAACGATTCTATAATAATATGCTGTTGGTCGACCTGTAAATTGGGCCAACTGTTCTAGAAAACAGTAGGAATTATGTGGGGGAAAAAAGCCACTAAATCATTCACACTCTGATCTTGTTAGGTCACTACTATAGGTCACTTTATAAAGATCAAAAAGAGAAAAAAGATCCGATATGCACCAAAAATATCCATTGTTATACATTTTTGGTAGCAAAAACCTGGGAAAAGAAAGTGTAAATGGCCAAACAAATTATGCTATATGAATGTAACAGAATATTATCAAACCATAAGAGATAAAAATATAAGATATTCAAAAAAACATGAGACTTTTATGACTTAACACAGAACAAATAAAGCAGAACTGGAACAATACTATACATAATAACTATAATAATGTAAAATAAAACAACACTAAAAAAAATCAACTGAATTCAGCTTCAATACAATGACCAAACTTGATCACTGGAAAGAGAACAGATAAAGAAACACACACCTTTCTCCTCTTGATAGATAGGCAAGGGACTACAAGTACTGAATATTGCACACTTTCATCTCTCTTAAATACTCTTTCTGGCTCCCAGGCAGGTCCACAGTTAGATCTCTCTCAGACTTTCTGGCCTTCTTAGATTCTGAATACTGGCTAGGCCTATGGAGACTTCTCTTTCTCCTGATCAGACTTTCCCAACTAACTGTCAAAGGAGGTTGCTGTGTTGGTTGATTTTGTTCAACTTTGTAACTCTGTTACAAGGGGATGTTTAGACGGTGAGGTATATTTGGAAATTACTGTGACAGAACGCTACTCTAATTGTAGGCATCATCATTATCATCATAGCTAATATATACATACATATACACACATATTTGTGTGTGTGCTTGTGTGTAGCTAAAACTGTGCTAAATGCTTTGCAATTATTATTTCATTTGACCCTCACAAAAACCCTGTGAAGTAGGTGCTATTATTATCCCTATTTTCCAGATGAGAAAACTGGGGCAAATAGAAGTTAAATGACTAGCCCAGAGTCTTACAGCTAGTAAGTTTCTGAGGCCAGATATGAACTCAAATCTTCCTGACTCTAGACCTAGTGCCTTATCCACTGTAGCACCTTAACTGCCCCTAAAAATAGTGAGAAGCCCACTTGCTCAAAAATTCTTGGCAATACACAATTACAAAACACTATTCACACAAATAAAGTCAGATCTAAACAACTGGAAAAACATCAGTTGCTCATGGGTAGGCCGAGCTAATATAATAAAAATGACAATTCTACCTAAGTT